GGATGTGTTACAGTCACGTACATGTTCATGCACCTGCAAATTAGAAAGGAATTTAAAGGAATGCAACATGGGAAGGGGTGAATGAGGATCACTCAAGAGAATATTTGTACTTGTTTTTAGTAATGTACCTGTAAGCATTTAGAAAATCTGCATACATTTGTACATGTAGCTTTTTTTGTTGACAATGATTAATGAACAGCATTCCTGCACTGTCTCCCTAGCTGCCTCTTTTATCTCTGAGGAGTCAAACGTTACATTATCAGTTGAAGGTAAGATGCAGTCAACTTGTAGACGTTAACAAAGTACTGACTACTTACATGTAAACATGTTTTGTTTTGTCTTTGAAAATAGTATATGTAGAATTATAGATGATCACTGTTGTTTCATTAATGTACTCAGTGGCTCTTTTCACTTTTTGCTCTTCTCTACGTGTTTTTTTTCTCGCGCACCACTTTTTGACTTTTTTTTTTGAGAATTTTCTTGTGTCGCTGATTTTGCCAAATTTCAATTTGCCAGTGTTTGTGTTCCACACTATGCAAATCCTCTTCTTTGCAATGCAAAACGCAGGCTTGCAAATCTTCGCATGGTTCTTTAGTGCATCAAAATGTGCAGGAGGCTGTTGATTCAAGCCCCACGTTACAGCTTAGGAGAAATTTTTTAAGTATTCCGGAAACACTACATAGCATTACTGAATGACAGAACGAAATAGCAACATTTCCATAACCCCACGTAAAATCCCAGAGAAGACTAAAAAGGTGTGTGAAACTGTTCTGATACACGTACCGGTACATGTACTCATAAGCTTCTCCAGAAATTCTTGCCGGAGCACCTGTGGTTGTGAATGTGGAGAAAAAAAATGTGGCTTGCTCGATCTCTCTGGCATTAGTTTGAGTTAACTAGATATTTACAGAGTGCGGATCTCGACCATGTCCTGCAGCTCATGAATCAGCATTTATAAATCAATGAGGCTGAGGTAATAAGCGGACCGGTTTGGCAAGCTCCAATTCAATTACCACATCTTGGCTGCCTCAGCTGTCTTGCTGTACATTGTACAAATTGGTCTTTGCAGAACTCATGCAATAACAGTCGACTGAAGTCTTTAAGTCGGAGCTTATACGGGGGGACATCAGGTGCATCAGGATAAAATGTTTTTGACTATCCGCCCCGAATTGAAGTGCACCCCCAAGTGGCAAAAGAAAGACAGGTGGTTGTAAGTTGTCCAAGCGAGTTCTTGTACTCGTTCTGCGTGTATACACAAAGACTATACATTAAGGAATAAAGTTGTTACGCGTACTCAGCGTGCTCGGCGTCAAAACACGCCATTGATCCCCATTATAAATGCGCAAGCTTATGCGGCGAGTCCCAAAAAAAAAAACCACGCCCTCTTTTGTTGCACTCAGAGCAGGTTTGAATCGTCTTGCATCCACATGGAGGCTCATGTTCCAGGACAGTGTGCACGTACATGTACCTAAGGGTACTTTCATTTTGTGTTTTTTCAGGCTGAGCAATTTTCTTTTCAAGGTGCCTGTACAACCACTTGGCAAAATCAGCGGCATGAAATTCCTCAAGCAGAGATTAACACTGTAGATGCACCCTTCAGATTCGTTGCCTTCCTAGTCGTGTCTCATGTCAACATGTTGTCTGTCATTGCTTTTTCGTTTACACGTAGATTACTCACTCTGTGCTCACTTGTGAAATGCCTGACCAGCAAACTGAGATGAAAGTATCACCAATATATGAAGTGCCAAGATGTTGACACGTTTGAGTGGCCAAAACATGCCTTATACATGTACATGTACAAGACTGGCAATATTGGTGCTTTCTGTTTTCCAATTTCAGCATTCAACCCTAACCCTTACATGTACATGTGTTCCGAGCACCTTTTACACATGTACACACTGTACATTATACATGTACATGTACGGGTACTTCCTACCGTACGTGTGTGCAATTAAAGCATACAAAGGGGCTGTGTCGCTCAGTCCCAAGAAATGTATGCTCAACAGAGGTTACTGTATTTTTTTTTTTTTTCAACACTGCTCTTGTGCATGGTTGACAGACAAAATACCAAAACTGATGGTGAGATTACCCGGTATTTAACAGAAGAAAACATAGGTTGTGTATTCTGTAACCTGTATGGTATAAACTTTGCCGTGCCCCGAGAGGAAGTTACACTGTACACTGTGACTCTGCGTGTCGCAGCTTGGCATATCAGATTGTGCAGTTGTCAGTATAGGTTGTCAGTACAGGTTGGTGTTGCACTGTCAGCTTACATCCGGATTTTCTGCCAAGTCACAGGAATCCCCAGGCAATCCCACAGTGGGGAAAGTTTTTTTTTAATTTTCCGCAAATGTCTTGAGTTTCTGTGGCTGCCAGTAACATAGGAAAAACTATCAGAGGGGTCTGGGCTCCCTCTGATTGGCCTCTTGAAAAAGCGTGGCCATAACAGCATGCAAGATTTTGACTGTGCAATAACAATTGTGAAACTTCCTAAAAGTTTATTTAGCCCAAGCAAGGCCTGAGCAATGCATGCGTTTTCTTCACATTTGAATTTCATGTGGTTGCTTCCATTAATGCGCTTTGTAAACATACAATTAGCACCAGCTATTTAACCACTAAGCAGAAATGTACATGTAGTTGGGTGCCGTGTTAAATCTCCATCCTTACTGTAGTTGGAATTGTACTCATATGGCTGTGCTTTCTACTTGTGTTTGTTGGAGTTGTACATGTTTTTGTAATCCATTTCCACAAAATGTAGAGCTACATGTATACAGGGGCAATCCTGTGCATTTCATGTGCATTTGAGGTCATCTTGGGACTGTCACTTAGAGATAGTCTGATGACTGTTTCACTGATATACATGTACCTGTGACCATAGTCACCTGACAAAGTGTAATTTTTTATCGCACAGGTTAAACAAGAATGTGTATCATTATTTGTAGATGTCGAATGTGAAGTCAAACCCCACATCATGTTAACCTCAGCGTTTTGTGGAAATGGTCTTGTCTCTTATGAATATTTCACAGAACTTTACTGGTACCTGCTTGCCTACTGGTGTTTCTAACATTCAGTTAATTTCCAAATTTACATACAGTATTTACCCTCAGTTTCCTTTTTCCTGACATTGTTGAGAGTGAAATTTGATATCTAACCACAGTAACAGTTTACAGTTTCAGCAGCCATTACCGGTATCATTATTACACCATGTCCGGAAGTTGTGGCACGCGGCTGAAAATAACACAGGCACTTACGGAAGCCACTCGCTAGCAGCTGTAGCTGCGTTTACTTTCCATGGTGACGTGTGTAACTCCGTGCCACAGCCAATTGATTTGGACGCAGTCTTTTGGAGTTGACCAATTAATCCTCCAAAATTGAGCACAGTGTGCAGTTAACCTGTGATGATCTTGTACTCGTCAATTAATTGACCTACATTGTAAAATGCAATAACCAGGTGTTGAATTTTGGAGGATTTGAGAGTTAAGGATTTTGGTAAATGGAAGCCATCCCTCGGTCAAGAAAAATGACCAGATCGTTGCCTGGCTTTGACTACTGATCACTTTGATTGGCTGCACCATTTTGTGATACTGGGTGACTGTAATCTGCTCGGGCAGAGTCTGAGGCATGACTCGGACTATGTATGCGCATTTGTGAATGGACAGTTGAGCTTGCTATGTCAAGTTCTTTGAATCCTGAATTTGACCCAGGGCCCTCAGTACAGTACATTGTATATATGGGACAGAAGGGACCTGCTCATGCAACTGTGCAGAATCATTTCCTTCTTTGTGGAACTTGGTGATGCACGAGCACAATCTGAGATTACTCTCAGATTGAAAGTACCCTGTGTGCTGTTTTCAGACTACAGGGTCACATACGTGGCAAGGGCACATGTAGCAGTCAGCACACAAGCACTTTGCACCAGACAGCTCTAGATTTACACGATTACTCAAAAGACTGCACTTAAGTTGTCATCACCAGTCTATTCCTTCCACCATGCATGCGGTGGTGTTCTCCTAAGGCACCTGTGCGTGCCCTTACCTTTCACCTGTTTCCTCCACTGGACCTGTCACTGCTGCCCTTATTTCTGATTTCCTTCCTTGGCCACTGCTGTGCCAGCAAGGCTAGAAGTCACCCGGAATTGGCGTGAAGAGCCAGGCTCGGCATTATAGGTTGGAGGAGGGGTGCTGGAGTGGGGTCGCAGGGGCCCAGAAATTACTCTGCGAGGGGGATCAAAGATTGTTACTTTGGAGGATCCGGGAGGGGAAGGGTTGAGTTTTCAAGGCGGATCAGTCAGGCATTGGGAATGAGGGAAAGGAATTTGAACCAAGGCGAGTGAAGTGCCCTCAGTGAGCTCTTCCCAACCTCATCCAACCTACATCTCATCAAGTAAAGCCTTAGCAAAAATTAAGATCTGGGATTTTTTAGTTAGAAATGCAAAGATGATACTTTATGCACATCGTGTGATATTGTGCACTGTTAAATCTGCAGCGCTTCCCTCCCATGGTACTTGAGGTACAGGTGACTTCTGACAAGTACTGGTATGTACATTCTGTTGAGAAAGCAAGGAAAGTTTGACCATCCTTGTTTTCCACTCTTACTTGGAGGAGAGAAAACCAAAATTCAGCAGAAACAACAAAATTTGTTGTTTCTGCTGAATTTTTGGTCGTGTGCCCGGCAAAAGATCGTAAGCGCGCTTATGCCCTTTTGCCATGAAGCATGATCACAGTAGAAAAAATGTTCCCGGTAAAAGGGCGCAAGAAATACACTCTCTTTATTTAGTAAAAACGGATAAAATTTACTACAAAATCACCACAGGCTGTGCAAAAAGCAACCTTTGAACAACTTATAAAACGACTTGAGAAAATGTTTTGGAACTATTTGCAAAGCAATCTTTATATATCATTAAAATAAAACAGTTGCATGCAAATGTCCTTTCGCCTGGAAAATGTTTTTTGGCGACGATTATGCTTCCCGGCAAATGGTCATAAGCGCTTACAACCTTCTTCCGGGCACACAACAAAATGTTTTCAAATAGTGGTCTTTTAATTTAAATGCTCACCCATTTTGGACTGTTGTTTGGTGTGTGATCCCTGCAGAACCAGTGCCACCTGGAAAACCAGTTGCCAGGGTGACCACCAAAGATTCCATCGACATCTCGTGGGCGGAGAGCAATGGTCCAGTTCTCTCCTACCAGGTTCTATACAGGTTGGTGGGACAGCATGGAGTGTATGTAAGAAAAAGAAGAAACAATTGCCTGGATTATGTTGAAACACCCAGCAAGCCTGAGATCTAATCTACCAATACCATACTTACCAAACCGGAGAAAACATCAGAAACGTGAGGAAGAACTTTCTCAAGGGCACTTTCGGCGGTGCCAGAAAAACATGGAAAATCCTAGATTTGTTGTAATCCTTGAAGAGGAATTAAGCATGCAAAGATCTCACAATGCATGAAGTTTGACATCTGTTCTTATGTACTTGGGGCTCTGTTCTGAAATTATTCAGGCCAGCCCATTTATTTTTGGATTAGTGATCCCCCAACTTTAATTTTGGGTGCTAAATGGAAAAAAGGCCATAGTCTGATTCATTTTTTCATCTTGAGCTTGTGGTTATTGCATTATTATTATTATTGCACATTATTTAATGTAAAACTAAAGCCTAGATAATAAACTTTACTGTTTACAGCATTACAGCCGAGGAACCATCAGTTTTCCTGCCAATTCTCAGACCTGTACTAAGTTTCCTTGATTACTGAGTAATATACATGTACATGCAGAAAGACCAGCGGCCTACTTTGATTAGGAAGTGAATTTAACTTTTATTTTGTCTCAATCCTACAACATAGCTTCTTGAAAAACTCTCATCCTCAAAAATTGTAATAAAAAAGTGTGTGGCCTAATGAGTCTGCATTTGAATTTTGAATCCGCAAGACCAAACATCCCACTACCCTCTGTCCAAGTTTTATTTGCATTTGTTTGGTTCCCATCTTCAGGGAGGGTTCATCCACACCCGCACCGGGCGCAGCCCCAATGAGGACCCCTATCTCTCCAGGGCTGGAGACAAGCCTCCTGGTTCCCAACCTGATGCCTTACACAGAGTATAGCTTCTGGGTGGAGGCCAGCTACCGGGGGGGCTATACCAAGATGAGCGAGATGTCTGTGCTGTGGACAGCATCCGGAAGTGAGTCCTTAAACAGGCTTTGATCTTTACAGCGGCCACCAGCGGCCACTGCCGCGATACCCCGGTGAATTGCCATGATGCCCTTTAAAAATAATGCGTACCTTTCGGCCACTTGGCCGACGTGCCCCTCTTCAATGATGTACATTTTAAGGTTGTGTGTAAATTTCAAGTTAAGTCAAGTTAAGTCAAGGCTGTTAAAGTCACAACAAGTGAAAGTTTCAAAAGTGCCTTGTTGCCCTTTCATTTGGCCTTGGTGCCCTTTGGTTTTGGGGAGCATTCAAGGCCGAGTGGCCTTGACCCTCTTAAGCTTAAGGTTGAAACCTGCTTAAAAGCACTGGAATGATGTTCAATGACAGTTTACATGTACATCGCAGTCAAGAATAAGTTGCGATGTTCTTTAGATATCGATAAAAATCTTGACTTAAGCCAGGTTTCCATACCAACATGAAGAGTCACAGAGAGCATTGGCAATCAGTCCCCAATGACATGCACTCATAGGAAAAGGCTTTATCATGATTGATGCAAACGCGGATGTAGACAGTCAGGAAAGTTGGATCATCTTCAAGTTTGCCAACTGTCTGTGTCCAGACTCCAAAGTACCATATGCACACACAAACAGACATGTCAGCCGACGGGCGTACGATGTGCCCTTTTCTCAGTTCCAATCTTTTTCTTACAGTAGATATAAAAAGCGTCACCCCAACTGTCGCCATGAATAAAATCTATCAAATTGGAGTACTGGTTTGGCTTCAAGAGGTGGTACAGCCACCCAAACAAAGATATTTACATGTAACTGAAAAAAATTAGAGTTTTGGATGTCATTTTGCTTGTGTTGTTCATAAGGATGTCACACAATTTCTCTTCCACACCTGTCTGCGTCTCTGCATCTTGTGTACTATTGGTGATCGTTACGACTGTATGGATACTGGGCTTAAATTAATGTACAGATCATTGTATATGTAGGGAATACAGGCGATAGTCATGATTGCATTTTAATGTTAGAAAATGGGTAACAGTAGTGAACGTGTAAAGAGTGTGAAATCTTCAAGAGGTACCCATGGGGTGCAAACTTTCTGTCATGGGGGCACCTGAAGTTAATAAATTGCAGCCTGTACACAGGTCATTTACATTCCAAAATTTTGAGGGGAACGTTCGTTGTGTGGTCCCCCCCTCCCAGTTATGCTGCTGATAAGTAGAGATGAAATAAAGAGGAAATTCCTTTCTTTACCATATATGCATCTCTGACATATCAGTTGATTTTGATGTCCTGTGGGACACGTGCACAGTATCGGCTCAGTTACAGTTGTGATTAGATGGGAGACTTGAAGCGTTAAGTCACAAGGTACATGTATAAGATACCGGTATTACTTATCCCCGATGATCCTTAATTGCAGTTTGTCATTCAGAACATTACAATATTTACGTTGTTGATGTTCTGATTGGCCAGCTACATGTACAAAATAAGAGAGCCTGCCAGGAAAAAGGTAAAGATCTTCAAATTTGTGAGAAAAAACTCTTCATACTGAGTTGATGTAAACTCTTGACCAGAACCGCACCCTTCCAACTCGAGCTTTGGGGCTACTTCTGATATTGGTGTGAAACAAGATACACCCGTTTGCCAGTCGTGGCACACAAAGCTCCACAGAGGCTGTGCCCGAGTATCCTCCTCTTGTGCTTCGCAAAGGCGGTTTTCCTCATCTTGGCTTCGTCCTTGCCTCTGGCCAAATAAGTCGGGCACGACTCAAATATGGATCAATCCGGTGTATGCACTGGTTCACACAACTGTACATGTATGTGCCAAAAGAAGATGATGGAAAAGTTGATTAAACTCAGACAATTGAATATTCAACTACGCCACTCACAGTGGGAACTCACAAGACAACTGATCATCTTCCAATTAGGTGATCAGATTGGAAATGTCAAATTCATTGCAAAGTAATCAGAAGATAGAGTTCAGTAGTGAGAAAGGCATGCTAAAGTACTTTTGGACTTGCACTCATCAGAGCATAAGTGCAAGAATGACATTAGACGCTAATTAACAATGCTTATGAGGCTGAAATCACATGTTCAAATACTAAATGTTAATAGGTCGACAGAAAGTAATCAGCTCTTTCTCATTTCCCTGTATTTGTCGCCATTTCTCAGCTCCGACAGACGCCCCACAGAATGTCGCAGCCTCGGCCACAAGCGCGACCAGCATCCAGGTCTCATGGAGTGCGCCCCCAATCAGCTCACTGAATGGGGCCCTGGTAGGGTACAGGATCCGCCTCAGCCGCGAGGGGAATCCTGTCACAAAGACATCGGTCGGTCCAGGCACGGTGAGTAGAGCAGGCCTCATCTCAAAATACAATTTGGGACCCCATGCCTGCCAGTCATTTTGCTGTTGAAGCCATCGTGAAAATTGGACATACTGTAATTTTCGGAATATAAGCCGCCTGGTGTATAAGACGCAGCACGCAAAAATCTGCAAATTAAGATTTAAAGTTGGCATAGAAGCCCCACCAGCATGTAAGCCGCACTTCAGTGCTGACGATCCAACCACGAAGGTCATCATTCTGCATGCTGAAGTGGCAATGGTTCCATTACAGGTGTAATCCTAATAAAAGTAAGCAAAATGCAAATAAGAGTCACCTTTTTGCAGGCTGGATGGTTGTCCTGCGTGGGCCGTACATCAACTCTTGCCTTTTTTCCTGCGGCCGGCAAAAGTTATGCAGTCAGTGATGTACAATAAAATCTTGGTACCTCAAAGTCAGTTAAGTTGAAAGATCTTTTTATCTCGGAGGCCGACTGTTTCTTGCCAAAAGAAGAGGGGTTTTAATTTGTAAAATAAGAACTTCTGTTACTGTCCACAACGCTACATCAAGTTATCTCAAAGTTTTTGTCACGCAGATCAAAAAAGCTCCGCCAAGTCACTTTGCAAAATTTGGCGTGAGACCTTGGTTCAAGGCGTCACACTGGAACCGCTTGTGTTGCAGGCATGCTGCACGTGGCATGGCACAAATTGCACTGCACGTGCGCACCGCCGCGATCGCACAAACCTTGTTTTCAGGCTAGACTGACTGCTACCACAGACCCATTCATGGACAGTCCAATCGCTGTCTCTTTCTGATAACCATGTGACCACAGAAAGTGTCATGAGAATACCCAAGTGAAAAAAACAGAAGAAATTCTGTGGCATGCATGTCACACTGAACACGATCGGCGAAAAGACGAAAGATCTGCCACACAAAGGTACACCATTGAAGCGGTCAATTTTTATCTAATGATAGAAAGAAATCCTCAGGTTACAACAATAAAAAAAAAATGATTATCTGTCTACAAAATATGCACTATGAGAATAAATAAAAAGTTGCAGAATAATCACAAAATGTTGCCACAGCAGAGCAAGTAAAGTTTACGATTACGTTCACAGTTCATGTATGTGTTTCGTGACTCCATGTCAAAATCAGGACAACTTGAATTTTTATTCACCGACGTTTGAGTTTTCAGATGTAAATGGCAACCAACGAAAACATGACTATGCCACCTGCACGTGGTTCTGGTGGCCTGGCTGCAGCTTTTATGACTGATTTTATCCTTCAAGGATTGCAGTGGAAGCCGCCTGGCGTACATGTACAAGCCGCAGCGACATTTTTCAGTGTGAGAATCAGTATAGGCTGGGGCTTACATTCCGAAAATTACGGTATTTTTCTCTCCGAATGTCAATTTTTCCAGGACAGGTCAGCCCAAAACTGATGACTTTTCCCATTGACATGTTGAAACACAGGCCAACACACGGGAAAGTGTGACCATGACAACAAAATCCCGCCTCGGATTGACTTGAGACTTCACAAATATACTCAATGGATATCTTAATTTTACATACATATATTTACATGGCAGGCAAACTTTCGTGAAGATTGGTCACTGAACAGCTGAGACCTGGGAAAAACCTGCCCTTATCCCCTCCTTGGCTATGAAAACCAGAAAACCTAACCCTGTTTAAAGGGTGAAAAAAACTGACAGGCATTGTGTGCCCTTTGAATCAACCTATTGAGCTTTTGAAATAAACCTCATAGTCATAGTGCATATACCTGTACATGTAGTAAATGATTATAAGCAAAAAGGAAATGGGGTATTACTCTAGCCACATGAGCTTACTTTTTAACTATGGTCAAGTATTGACATTAAAGTTGGAGAAGAAATTCTTGGGATTTTCCCCCAAAAGGCATGATAATTCCACCAAAAATTACCGTTTGTTTTCTGTAAAAGTCAGCTCCACTGAGAAGTTGTACCGATAAGAAGTGTACATTTAAAAGGACCCCTCAGCTCCAATACACTTTCCAGTATATACATTGTATGTATATGCAAGAAGTTGGATTGTAAAGGCTGAAGTGTGGATCCTGGCCAAAAACTTATTGCTAGAGGGCCTCCTGGTGATCACGCAGACCTGTCCCTTTTTTTACGCCATCACCTTACCCCTTTGTTGCCTTGTGCATTTTCCATTACACGTGATGTAGAGCAAAGAAGTCCAGGGCCTGCGGCCATACACCAACTACAGTGTGACGGTGGCGGTGTATAACGACGCCATGGGGGACGTGGCCATTGGGCCCTACAGCAGCGCGGTGGTTGCTAGGACTTGGGAAGCCGGTAAGCAAGCCCCTCACCAAGGGCCCCGCTTCCTCCATCGACAACAACATCTATTGTTCATACGATGTGCCCCTAGCTGGTAGTGTACCCGTCCCCCTAGCAGTCGCCTTTAGCGCTGTAGTTCTTACCTACATGTAGGACCCAGTTTACTGACAAGCAGGACCAGTAAAAAGTAGGAGTCTCCCTTGGTTTGGAAAGTTCCAGTGCATTGTCTTATGAGCTAAGGCCATGTTTCAATAGTCCTTGTGGACAGGTATATCATCTCTTGATTTCATTTGCCAGAACTTTCTGTTAAATGGGATTCGGTTAGTTTGTCCGCCCTTCTGTGGTACAAGTGAAAATTTGGTGTGCAATATGAACTTCTCTGTCTGATTTTGCAAACAAATTCAGGCACTTTTTTACATGTTTAAACAAGATGCCAAAATGACTACCGAAAAAATCCATTGGTTCAAGCCGCAACAAATTTTTCAACCAGAAATCTTACTTAAATCCATGCCATCTCACTCTCATCCCACTCAAATGAAAGGTCATTTTTTTCTCAATTTGATATCAACTTTTGTGATGTTTATAGTTCTGTACATTTTAATGATTTTCTTTTTTTTGGGCCTAATGTCTATCTCTTCATGGTATTGCCCAGTTGCTCATCTCCGGGGGGCTTATCTTTTGCAAAGTCAGGTTCAATTCAATTAAATTTGATCCCATGCTATCCTATCCTATCCCATTCAATCCAATCCCTTCCAGTCCAATCCAAGCCAATCTAGTCCAGTCCAATCCAATCCAGTCCAGTCTAATTCAATACAATACAATCCCACCAATGTAGTCCACTCCAGTCCAGTCCAACCCAATCATATCCCGTCATATCCCATTCAATCCAATCCCATCCAGTCCACTCCAGTCCAATCCAATCCAATCCAGTCCAGTCTAATTCAGTACAATCCAGTCCAATCATATCCCATTCCATCCAATCCCATCCCATCCAATGCAATCTGATCCAATCCTATCCTATCCAAACCCAAATCCAAAACAACATGTATTACCACACAATATCAGTTATAGGTACATGTACATCAAATATTATTACAGGTGAGGAGACATCACCTTGAAGCATCCCTTCCACCAGCTTGTGGTGGATGTTGCTAACAAAACTAGAATGATGACAAAGATTCACAACCACAATAGCAGGATTAATTATGCAGCTAAACACAAAAGTGGACAAGGAACAACACTTTCACAGACTAGTTACAAATGGGTGAACACAACTGAAGTACATGTACACGTACATGTACTTTAAGCCGCAAGGAAAGGTTTTAATTTAAATTTGAAAGTATTCAGGGTTTTATCATTCCTGAGCAATATTCAGCTTTGTGATTAGCCCGTACGTTTGCCAAGTAGCATTTTCTGCTTCATAATTTTTGTCTTTGGGTAGCCCCCAGCGCACCCAGTGGAATCAGTACAGTCTTCCAGAAGGACACCAGCATCACCATCTTCTGGGAAAAGCCAGAACACCCCAACTCGGCTGTAGTCACCTTCAATGTCGACTTCCGAAGGGTTGGCACGCCGGACTGGGAGAGGGTTAAGACTGAGACATTACAACAGTTTTGCTCAAGGACTGACCTCGGTAAGTGTGTCTTTATTTTTTGGCCGGGCTGCAATGCAACTATTTGGCGCGGCAGTAGTGTGAAAGTTTCCCATAGTCAGTTTTCAGAAAAAGTTATGTATTCATAAGTAAGATTTGAAACTTTGCATGGTGGAAGAGACATGAGAAGAAGGTTTGCTGGTAGACCATGGAATCAATCTCTTTTGGGCGAGGTGTGGTTCTTAACACTCAGCGGTTCTTTTAAGAACCACATCTCTCCCAAATGAGATTGATTCCATGGTGTACCCGCAAACCTATTTCTCATGATGTATACATGTTGCACATAACATCCAAAGGAGGCAAAAGTTATCTTCTTTAGAGTTTCTGGCCTTAGGTAAGTGTTTCTCGAACAATGTAAACCTTGTCCTGGTTTATCTATAGAAATGATCTTGCATGAAGTAAATAATTTTTTATTTGGAATTTTCATGTTTTTGTGTAAGAAGAAGTCTTCGTTTAATGTATTTGGTTATTTGTGAACAAGCATGGGGGTCTATATTTTAAGTGTGGGATTTAAAATTTCTAAGATTTTAATGAAGAAAACAGACACAAAAGCATTGCATTGAATTTTTAATGTATGCAAACAGATAATGTCTACATGTACATGTTTCTATGAGGACGTCTGACTCTGATGCACATAGAATCAGGACCTCAATTGGATGTCCGTAATGCCCGCGTGATAAATGAGTCACAAAACATCTCACTGATTAGACCGGATCCCATCACATACGTGTAGTTGTAATCGTGTATTAACTCTGTGCATGACTGCTGAGGGGGCTATCCTATTTGTTTCACACGGATCTAGATCACAATTAGTGATCCATAAAGCTGGTTTGCGCTATCCATTTTACAGGTTCTGGAGTCAGAGAACCAGTGACAGATCACTGATCAAGGTGTGGGTCCATGTGAAACAAACACACCAAATAAGGTTTCCGCTTTTGAGACTTTGAAAATCCGCTTTTGCAAATAAGTTCCGCCTTTTTGGACTGTCTGATATGGTGATAGTCGACTCAGAAATTCCAGTTTTTAAAAATAAAATTGCATGTCCTGCTGCTTACTTTCCATGTGTAACATCATATTTATTTCGTCCTAATCGCATCAAAATCATCAACTGTGCCATGCTATGCATGACGTATGTTCATGTGTAGTTCAGGCAAACATGGTAAGCACGCTCACACAGATCCCAAACCAGGCTGGAATTGGGAGATAAGTAAGATAAAGCCACACATTCCATTGGCTCTTTTCGCAGACAAAAACGAGTGCCAACCAATTACCATCTCTGTAGAAAATGTGTTTGTTTCCATGTAACTCTCTCTGTCACAATCGCTCTGATAGGCTTATTTTCATGACGTGTCCCACTCTCCTCACATGTAAGCCAACAATTGCGCACTTCTCATGCTACTCACCACATGCACGATCGACCACCATGCGAAGCCACCGCGCGTGGTACCATGAATATTTTGTGCGTGTAAGCATGGAAAACCGTACCGTGGTGTGTGTTGTGGAACGGATGTTTCTTCTGATGTGTCTCATCATCATGTCTGCCTGTAAAGACATCATTCATTGAGAAAAAGGAAAGGTAAAGCATTATGACAAAGGGATTCAAAGTTCCTGGCGATGGGAGTGGGTTGAGGCCAAATTAGGAGGAGTGTTCTTGTCCAAATATATTCGGAAATTGGCAAAATCAGATAAGGCGGTGTGCCTGTGGTGTGATGTAGAAATTAACTACGCTTCCCAGGGTAAAAGCGCCTTAACAGCACATGCAGAATCATTGAAACACAACAGCGAACAAAACTTGCATGGGTTTTCTTTATAACACATGTATCAAATGGACAATAATAAAGAGATTAGGTTTTTCAGGGTAGACTTTCACAAATGTTTCTATTGTAATAGACCAGATTGCACCACGGAGCATCTTAATTGAAAATTTTCCTGGGGCCCTTAAGCCGGACCTGGACCCCATGCCGTAAAGGGCTTCGCACTGCGCACTGGCAAATTTCATCTTGTTTCATTGTCTAAGAATCTCATCCCTGAGAATGTAGACCTTATGTGTTTACACTGGCTCAAATATCCAAAGTCCAGTGGGTGGCTGGCCGCAGCAGAATGTTTGAGGAAACGTACCAGCTTCACATTCTGTGAAATTCAACAGTACATAACTTTTTTTTCCCATAGATGTCTACACAGAATATGAGTTCCGAGTCGCCGCAGTCAACTCCATTTCAGAGGGTCCGTTTGTGACACTGACGGCATTTACCGACGTTGCAGGTGAGTTGGGCTGCTTCATTTTTTGCTGGCATGCATATTGTTGTTGGGATTGTAAGATTTGCGGATGCCGCGACCGATGTTCAGGCAGCTAATTCACCACAGTTGGACTCGTTTTGGCTTCCCTTCAATCCCAGACTGTGAACAGGCCTTGAAGACTACGACTGCAAAACTGCAGATTGAATGTATAACACCTGTTAATTGATGTCATTTTGAAAGTTTGATCCCTCCTCATTAATTACAGTGTTGAATTCTCGCATGTAAAGCACAGATCACAAAGGAAAATTGTTCTCTCTTTTCTCCACTGAACTGTGTACTCTTTTAAATCAACAATTCATCAGGCCTTGGGGACTTCCGTGCGCGCATGTCTAATTTACTATTGCATTTCAGTTTCAAGGGAGAGAAAAAAAGGGAATTTTGATTAAATTGTCAAGATTTCCTCCAGAATGTGGGACTCCTTTTCAGTGCTCGGCATGGTGGAGGGGGGGTGGGGGTAACCACGACATTGACCAAAATAAACTGTTGGACAAGGAAGTGACTCCTTCACGAGATGACTGACGAGTCAAATTAGATAAGCTGCGAGTATATCGATGAGAGATGTACATGTATCCCCCCCTTTGCTGAGGCCCATAGGAAGGAAACAGTGCCCTCTACAGAAAATAGCTGGTAATATTCTGTTGGATGGGTGCCAAAGAGAGATACATACCAACTTGCTGTAGACATAAATGCATGGGAACATTATACAGCATACGGGTATCTCAGTGTATTTCTACATGTAGCGCTTACCAGCGCTTACAGGTGTACCGGCACTATGTCAAGGGTGAAAGAACCATTGCAAAGTTTCCAGTTGGGTACCCAGAGAAGTTGGTAGACTGCCCCATGTAAAAATAGTCGTGTCCAGACGCTTTCGAAGCTGCCTCGAGCATGGGTGTTCATTGTTTGTGATTATTGAACTCACTGTGGCGATGCTTTGTTAAATAGCATCGCAGTCTTTTCTCACTAGAACTGCATGAGACTGCAGGGATGGTAACCTCGACCATTTTGCCAGTATCATGTCCAAGTAAGGAAAGCACCCTGCTGACCTCTGAACTTTAAAGTGTAGCTGCGGTGAATTTATCTTTATACATTATACATACACATTATGCATTTTTGTTGCAGCCAAACTGAAAGATTATTTTCTGTGGTTGAAAGGTTTAAGACCTGGTAGAGATTATAAACAGTAAGAGAATGAAGAGAGGCAAATTTTTCTCATCATTTCCCGTCAATTTTGTTCTCTTTTTTCCATGGCTCATATTGTTTTAAAGTTATTTCTTAAGTGCTTTAAAACACATCAGTTGAAAAATATACTGAATTCTCCTTGTTGGTAAGACAAGTTTTGAAATAAAGTCCTCTGGTGTAAACACTTTGCATTAAACTTTAAATGAGTTCAATTCCATTTGCTTTGCACTGGTAGCCAACAAAATGTGCTCCAAATGTGCACAGTACATGTATGCCTTATTATCCCCAAATAATTATTTTTATAAATCTGAAGGTGCTAATTTGTATTTTACATGATCAAAGTCACTTTTTCTCAAAAGGTTTTGAAAAATGACATGCAGAGTTGCATTTTGGTACATGTAAAGTACATGTAAAGTGCATGTCTCTGAAGCTACGACATAAGGCTCACGCACATATTTCTGTCAGGTCTGATGACCCACTTTCACCAGTGAGTACAAGGACATGAAAATAGCTTGGTTAGCTTGCAAACATGAACACAGTCTTGTGTGTATATTGATAGACCCATTCACAAGCACGGGTACATGTAGGAGGCACATGTGCATGTACACATACTTATTGAAGGGAGTTGACCCCTACATCGCAGGTCATACAAATGTTGATGTCCCCTCTGTTCTCAGTGCCCATGTCCTTGTAAGAGATGTTGGGGCTGTATTGAGACTTTTGCCTGTCCTCTGTTCACAAGACCACTTGAGGTCAAGCCCCCAGGTTCAGTTTACTTTCCTCTTCTTCCTTGGGGTTGGCTAAATTGAGTTGGAGGTCAGTTTGTTCATGTTGAACATCAGTTGCGTTGACTTCCTGAAGATGACCACTCGATCATAGAGGTGGCAGCAAGGCCTTGTCTCTCCCACAGCCAGTTGGGCTGACTCGTTTGTTTTCTGGTCTCTCTATTTTGTGGAAGGCCCTGTCTGAGGGTTTTTTTTTTTGGCATATTCCGCCTGCAGTTTGAGTCACCCTAGTGGAATTACAGATCCCAAGAAGATTGTGCTCCAATTCTCTGCTGAGATCACACTGTCCAAAATAGATCATGAGGAGGCTTGGCATTTATCAGTTTCAGCAGTTCCTGTTTTTCTAAGAATCTGATCCTCTGTTTAATCAGGCTGTTTAATCATTGGGTTTGTTTGCAATGTTGCGGCAGAAAAATTCCAAGTGATTCATTCAGATACATGTATGTGTGCACAACATGGCAGTGCTAAGGAGATTCAGTGTAACACGTACATGTGTGTGTATCAAGAAAGAGTCTTTCTCCCACAACATTTACATCAACCCTAAAAGTCCTGACTCCCTCACCTGTTGGAGCATTAAGGAATGTGGGGTTATTCATGTGACTCACTTTTATAAGAAACCTGGAAAAAAATCTGAGAGTCGTTTGTTTTTTCGCCACAATTTGTGGGTGAAAGGTGGGGACGAACATCACGCACATGGAAAACTGTCAAAAAGATCCTGAGATTGAGAATGCCTGTATTTTCCAAAATGGTTTGCGTTAACATGTGTGTGCCAATGTGTGTATCAAGCACAGGATGAATGCCAGAGCTGCAGTTTTTCAAGCTTCTATGAGACCGCAAGTTTGCGCCATCTACAGTCACGCGAAGGCTTGCGTGGCTATCGCGGCCACCATTGTTGATTTCTATCTCCACTTTTCAACCACAGTGCACTGCAGTGAACATTGCATTACATCATTACATGTGTATTTTAGGTCTATATTTCAAAAATATGACCCACTTGCCGAGTCCAAACTTGCTGTGAAATACATGGACCTGCATGTTTACCTTCCTTGACTTTTTTGTTTGTTGGGATGTTTGTTTGTTTGTTTGTTTGTTTGTTTATTGGGGTGTTGGGGTTGTTTGTTTGTTTGGTTTTTTTTGACTGGATGTGTCCATACTTAAAGGTTCACATCTGCATGTGACGCACCTGAATTGTTGCCAGGTAGCCCTCATCCGTAATGGCATAACATGCATAATTTCCCTTTACAATCAATCACCTGTCCCAACTTCAGAAACAAATGTTTTGAAATGGCAGGTGGTTGACATCATTATTGCCTATAGGGCAATCGTGAGTTTGCAGGAGGTCCAATAACCAACTGAATCATAGAGAGACCTAGAGAATCTCCAGACAAGATCTCACAGCTGTTTTACATTAAAGGTGCTGGCATTTCGTCCTGCCGATGGAGGCTGTGATTTGTTCAATGTGCATTCTGGCTGCTAAGCTCTGAAAATGCTAGGCAATCAAACTATTAGCTTAGCTTAGCAAGAACAGGTTACCAGCTGGAAAGCCACACAATGTATATTTCCTGTGACTGGTTCTCTGCTGACTCCAGTGTAGTCCACTAGTTAGTTTATCAAAATGCTTTGTTAAGCAGCAAATTAGGCGCTGGTGGTGATGTACGCAGCATCAGAAGAAAAACAAGTTGTAGCTGTTTTGCCTATGAACATTGGTTTCCCATCTCAGAGTACATACTCACAATACAGGCAGTGAAAGTACTGTTGATTCATAATGTTGAATTCACAGTCACAACAGATATATATTTTCTTTTGCGGTGCACATCCTCAGCTTTTTGCAAAATAAGGGACAAAAAGCCATCTCTAAAACCAGGAAAGGGAATATGAGCCATGCAGTTGAAAGAAAAACGGAAACTTGAACATTTGTCACGAATGCGGTTAGTAGTTTGCTGCTTTATGCAAGCAAATAGGCTGATACCCTCAAAACTTCTTCCTCTTGATGGCTGCAGTCAGATAGGATCTTTGGCACGTGGATGTCAGTCACAAGGATATGATGCTGAAACACTTGCGTCATCTTTTGTGGCTGCGATGACATGAGGCCGTCGTAGGAGGGTTGGACTTTGACAGAACGGACTCTGCAAGGTGTCACTTACAAATGTACATGTAGAAAGATTTCAACCAAACTTCAAGCTGAGAGGTGCCCCTGTAGATCATTTTTATGACTCATGCACATCATAAGCTGCAATCTGATTATCCCAGTACACGGTATGCAGTGCTTGATATTAGGCCAGCTTGGGGGGAAAAAAGTGGTGGTGCAAAAAGTGCTAGCATGATCAACTTCATCGTCTTGTTATCAGCTTTTGATTGAACAAAGTCACTCTTGTCAAATGTCATGAGAACTAAAAACCAGAGCAAAACAGCAAAAGGATTTACCTTTTGTTTTAGATTTCCCTCAGATGTTTTGTCTGGCCATATCTGCTTTTGGTCAGACAACTACCAAAAATGCTTAGAAGATGGCAACTGTCTGAGTTTCATTTCTTTCTCTTGTATTGGGACCTTTTGTGAGCCCATTTACGAGCCATGTTAATAGATTTATACATGTAAACTAAGTCCGTTGAAACGACACATTCCTGTCACAGAGATGATATCTTCCCCAGCTTTTACTGACAGGTGTACTTGTAATCTGGCTCTTTGTTATGCACAAGTGACCATCTTGCCAGCAGCCACGTCCTTCTTCATCTTGTCAGCGACTTAATCTGTGTCTGCATGCGGTGTCACCATGGCTTAAAAACATTTGCAGTACACTTGCTTATCACCAAAGTGCATTGCATATCAGGTCCAAGTTATCGTGAGGCCATGGTGAACTTTCAAATGGATAGTTAATTGGAACCCAATCCCATCTTAAGCTTATCGCCCCAGTAAAATCTTCCTCCCAAAGTGTACCGATGTGGGCTTGGAACTTGCTGGAATTCGTGCAAATCTGGCATAACATACACATGTACATGTATTCATAAATATACCTCAGTCTCCCTATTCAACAAAGTGTAACTTGACCCTGTATTAGCATTTGATAATGCCTGCTGAGAAATGATAATGCCTGCTGCGTAAATCACATGCTGGCACTTGGATACGAGACAGTTTAATCGATTCTGATTGGTTAAGAGTCTGCATGCAGCTTGTCATGTGCCCGCCAAGTTCATATAAGGAAGTTCAATTGGATAACTTGCACAAGGAATATACCATAAAATGGACCGGGGCGTTTAGAAAAAAGAAAGTACAATTCTAGAACAGAATCGTTGGAAATCCATCATACATGCATATGCACTTCTTTTGACTCGCTGACTAAAAATGGTATTTATGAGTGGGAATTTATAAGACGGTCAAGCACATGTTTAAGACGGCCTAGTACATATTTATTCCCTTACTAATATGCGCACTCGAACTGTGTTGGCACATTGCTCCCATTTAAAACAACATTAGTTTTGCAGTCTTGTACCCATGTCAAAAAACACTGGTGTGGGCTGCGATAGCTTCAGGATGGTCCGGGTTCAACTTTAATCATAGTGTAATGACCAGTAGCCACTTCACAAATTTAGCAACAATTAAAAAATTCTCAGCTCTCCAAACCGTGCTGGATGGCCCATGCTCAAATGTGTTGGGTTTTCAAATGCAGTAAATTAGTACAAATGAAAACCTACATATTTTTCCACTTTGGCTTCTAAACAGAAACTGCCATTCTGAGGTTCAGTCCAGATATTTTGCAAAGCCCAATTTAAACTCTCCAGACCACTCCTTTCTTGCATCTTTGCAGTATGCACAGAAATTTTACAAACAGCAGTGCAACATTTTTCTCAAATGAAGTCCAACCTTCTTCATTTTCAAATAATTCCCAGAGTAAATACCAGAGTAAAGCCTGACTCTCTGAAAAAAGTGGAAGAATGTTTAATACTAATGTGAGAAGTCTTGAGAAATTTATTTTGCCACATAAATGTACAGTCACTGTTGGTGCACACTGTTGGTGTAGGCAAGCTGCAGTACTCAAGTGGATGATTCATTCTCACAGTACACAGTTGCTCCTGGATCTCTCTCACTTCCTGTCACCCGGGGAGAGTTGAAGCACATGTGGGTCTGAATGTCCAACCAGTTGCCTGGATATTTTAGGAGAGCGAGGGCATGCACACGGCTCTTTTTTGTACTTTTTTCTGGCAGGTGGGAGGGGAGCGCTATTTTTTTTAAGACTCGGCCTGTAGTGAGGTGTCGCCCGTGGAGTTGGATGTAAACATTGTGCAATCTGGGCTGGTCTAATTTGCCTTTTGTGGGTTTTTTTCGAAACGTAATTGAGTTGGGAATTTCTCAACATGTTGCCAGTCCCGGGTTACTCGCTGGAAGTGTGTTTAGGAATGCTGTGAATTGACATAGTCAGCCAGCCGTGGCAGGCATTGTACTCTTTCTGCTCTCTCCCTCTTCCCCCCCCCTCACCTGAACTCCGGGGGAACTCTCTGGTGAAGTGTGCATGTGTCAGCTGGTCCGTTGGGATGTGCAGTGCCAACTTGCTACGGCTTCTCAGAGCTGGAAGAGACTTAGGGGATATGTGAATCACATTTCTATTGTCTGACTGCAGTGTATGCCCTTGGAATTGCAATTTGATCAAAATAGCAGAGATCTTGCAGTTGACACTGCCCAAGCTTGCTGTTCAACTCTTGTAAACACAGGATAGAACTTACCTATGGATTAATGCTGTGCACTGGTGTGGAATTCCTGGTGTTTGGGAGTGCTACAAGACAATGTTGTTTGTGTTTCAGTGCTTGAAATGTGGTCACAACTCTTGACCAACTGGTAATGTACACGTGTGCACTCACGCTGAGCTAGAGGGAAATTTCACAGATGGCAACATGTAAAATACGGCGTTGACACTGCTAAGATGCAGCCCTACATGAGTCTTGTCGGCCACCGCCGTGAGCTTTAAACCGTGAAAGGATTTACTACATTACTAGCCACCAATGATCGGGCTGGCATTTCTGGATCCCTGCGTCCAGCTCATAGGGGGATGGGAGACGGTCTTCCTCTTCTTGTTCGTCAGTCTGTGCGTCTTGCAGATACGGTGCGCCCTCAGGCATGGAGGAAGGTGTAGGGTGTGCGCGAGAAGGCCCAGTAAGTTGTCAATGCCCCTCCCCCTTTTTTTACTGCCACTATATGCAAGGAATATGTCGTAAAACGAGAGCCTCGTTTGTCTGTAGGCATGGATTGATCTCGGCAGGATATTCAATGGAAGATATGATTACCTACGTGCTTCTACTGAAGACCCTTTGGTCATCTGTTATGCATCCAAAAATAAATGGAAAGTAATGGAAGAAATGCTACACTACCGTATATGGGTCATTCCATGAGGTTGGGGCACAATTTGTGACGGTGTCCTTGTTACATGGTAACTTTTACCAGCTGTTATGAGCTGCAGAGTTGGTCATTTACTCCGTAAAAATAGCACACACCTCTGTATTCAGCCTTGCAAGATGTATAACAATGGCAATTTGGAATCCACTTGCAGGGAAATAGCTGTTCATTTTCAAGTAATCCATGTAACAATTGGCACTGTCACAAATTGTGCCCCAACCTCATGGAATGACCCATAGAAAAATGCGAAAAATTTTCCGTTTTTGCGGAGCTTTCCGCTGAAACTTTGGGTAATGGAAGGTGATCTCTCTGTCCCATCCAGAGATATTCTTTCCTGTTGACTGAAAAGAAAAGATTTGTGAAAAGTATACAGATTTCTTTTCTCTATGTCTCACTTGCAATTTTTCCAATTTCAAGTTTGTCAAGGGTAACAAAATTACGGTTTTGGAAAATAGGCAACCATGTTGGGACCAACAATGCAAGGTCTCTTAGCTGGAGATCATGCCTTCGGGTCTCTGGCTCACATAGATGTGCATGATACACCAGCAGATTACGGTGCTGAGGAATGAGCCAAATTTTTCAATTTTTGTAGCACGCAAGTAGTAATCAATGCATAATTGCTTCTTAGATGTACATGTACGCACCTTTGCTTTCATGCCGAGGCGTGCCTCTGTGGAGCCACATTATGGTATGTGAAGGGGAGAGGGCATTTCTACCTACAGTAAGAATGTTCCTAGTGCCGACACACCTAAATGCATGCAGTTTGCGTGCAGCTCAGAGAGCAGGAGTACATGAGAATTTTCATCAGAATGTACACAAAATGTGTGAGGACGTTGGGCATATGGTGGTAGCAGTGCTCAAGTAGTCTCTATCCTTTTACTTTGGCACTGTTTGGGGGGCACGTATTCTATGAAACCCTTTCTTGGTTGTCGTCCTTCAGACTTTGTTGTCTCGTTGTCTTTCCAGCTCCGGGCCCCCCAGTGAACGTCACCGTCAGGGACATCGGCATGGGGAGGGTCAAGGTATCCTGGATGGAGCCTGAGGTGTTCTACAGGAGTGTGGACAGCTACACCATCACTTACTTGGATGTGGGCCGAAATGTCACCATGAAGACTGTGGAGGTGAGTTTTGAATTCTTGCAGTCAGATGTGCATACATGTATGAAGCTCAAGAACAAGTTCGTTCAATATTTTTTCAAGGGGGAGTAGGTGAGGGCAGGTCAAACTTGGAATTATTTCCGAAATTTTATTGTGATGCACACGGGTGTGCCTTTACTTCATTTAAGGGAATAATTTGTGGATCCCTAATTTCTGGAATTACATGTACCCACTTGTATGTGCTGATCTGGGGCTGAAACTCAATTAGTGTCATTTGGGACATCCCTGTCCCATTTCCTTGAAATCCAGGACTTGATCTACATATGAAAGTGAATGGTGGTTGGCAGCGACAACATACATACCCATACATGTACATGTACAATGTACGTGCATGTGTGACAAAAAACTTTCATATTGGCACCTACCACTGGTACTTTACCGGAGCGGTTCCTTCATGGAAGCAGTGTCAAATGAGTCATACATAAATCACAAGTATGGAAACAAAGATAGTATGTCACAACAGGGACATGCATCAGTGCACGTGAACCAGTCTGATGAATATAAAAGTCACATGAGTAAATAGAACTGGTGCCCTGGGTTATGACATACCTGTACATGTATTGCTCTCTACGGTATGTTGGAAGACTACATGTACGTGTACTGTTCTGTGAGACCCGTCGGCCATTTATACATGTCCTTTAGTGTGTGAGTTAATGTGTGTGTGTGAATGTTATTTGTCCTTCAATTTCAATTGTACCCAGTGTATTTGTTGGGTACATTGGTATTTTGAAACCTAAGAAGTATTGTCGTTTCGTGCACCATATCAAAGTCATTCATACGCACCAAGTCCAGAGGAGGTTGAGAACATTGGAATGTACTGTATTATGTAAAAACACCGTTGACCAGCGCTTTTTCTCATCATGCAAGGAAATGAAAACGATGATAGAAAGTGCCTCCCACAGGTTTTTAAAGTTTACTTGTAACACCTTGAAGTATACTTTTAGAAAGCAAGTTTAAAACCAAGAAATTGAATTTTCCCCTGTTTAATTCACAGACAATTTAATTTCAGGTATGATATAATTATTATGCATATTTAACAATCCATTGAATATTCAAGGTTAGTACAGCCCTATATGTACTTTAAAGTAATTTTGTTGGGGCAGGGCAGGGTGGATACCAATGTTGTAGGTCTCGAGACCGTATTTTTCCTGGCCTCAGTTTCGGTCTTCCAGGTCTCAACTACAACACTGGTGGAGACATAGAAATGTTGGCAGATGCATGCCATGGAGTTTTGTGTATTACAAATAGGCTTACCTTGTTTACATACATGTACATGTGTATAGGCATACATATACAGGTTTACTCTCTTTCATTTGCTGTGCTTTTGATTTCGTCCCTTCTTGGTTTTGTCTTTTCTTTTTGCCGTCTCAGTTTCATTTTCTTTATGCTGATGAGTACCTCCCTTTTCATTGCGGAAGAATAGACCAGGACTAGAGAAACGAGCGAGCAAGGTTTCTTTTGATACGTGTGTTCACCCGCAGAGACATCGGGGAATTGGGATTAAGACTTCCAAATGTCAAGCCTGCTGAATTTCATTCTCCTCGGGGTTTCAGTTCTGAGCAGTGTCAGTGTTCAACAGCATAGGCTATCGGGCTCGTCTGGATATTTTTGCAGTGGGGTAACATGTGTCAGTGACTTTTTGCGTGTGTGCATGCGGATGAGTCGTTTGCGTCAGCGGAACTTGAAATACATGAAGCTTGTGGCTGTTTTGATGGTGTTGCTACTGGTGACATTGGCTGATTGGTTGACTGCACTGCACATGTGAGTTTTTTTGGGGGGGAGAAGGGCTGTCTGGGTATTGGTGGTTTATTTCTGTGGATCCTGCGTATCCCTGCTGTTACTACACAGTGTCTGTATCTTTGAGAAATGTCCTACATGTAGGCCTACATGTAGTTTAATGGGTTCCTGCATCTTGTGTGGGAAATAACTTGTGCGTTACTGTCAAGTCTGCCAACTTTCACTCGCGAAAAAGCAAATTTTTCTCTGACCTACTGTTATTCAAGTTGTCGGACAGTTTGTTATTTCAATGAAGCAAGGTCATTTGAGATAAAAATGCCCGATGTCCTTCCTACCAGCTTAGATGTAGTTGACACAATGCACGTTCATGTAGTACATGTAGCGTACATGTACTGCTATGCTGTATCTGTCAGTCCGTAGGGTTTATCTCTTGTATATTAATGGATCCCCTTCCTGACTGGCCTGTGAAGTGCTTCATTCGGTTCACATGCTGCTGGAACACCGAATGGGCATATATTGTAGGTCGTTACGTACATTCACAGGTGAAAAGATTGCAGTTATATGTACATGTCACATGTGCATGTGTGTGTTATTGTTGCATGAATAAAGCAGATACAAGAGGGGCTATTTTGCCAAGACGTAACCATGAGCCTGGACTTCACGGGTCAGGTGACTATCATTTGCAGTGATTGTCTTGTGTTTATTCGTGGAGGAAAGAATGGTTCTTTCACAGTATGCAACAACAGTTTAGTGAAGGTGCAGTTAAACTCATATATGTACAATCTTGATTCGTTCAGATTGGTTGAGGCTAAAGTGATATAAGATTTGTTCCTACCGGTATTAGATTCACATGATAAACCCCCTTTAGTCCCTTCTGTATTTTGGGGGGATTACATACATGTACCCCAGGAGTTTTGTTAATGCTTTTTTTAAAGTTTGTCCAAGTTTGCAGTATGCACATGTAAACCCTACAATGGTTGATGGTCACACAAGATCCTACACGTACATGTACATTACCTATGTTAAAGCTACATGTAGCACCGGTCACTGAGCTGTGTCGAGATTTACATGTAATCTTGCCTCATATCGGCATGTGTCGACTTCATGGGGTAATTTCCCCCTGTATTTTCTCTTTCACTTGGTTAACCATAAGTGGCACTGAACAAACCAGAAATGAATCATTGTACTACATGTACATGGAACTAATCAGGTTTGGTTAAGGCTCATCATTGCTCAACTTCATAAGGTTTATATGAGAAATGCAAAGCTTGGGGTTTTTTGGGGGGGAGGGGATTATGAAAAACTTGTTTACATGTAGCTGTGAGAGAAACTTCAAGGTTTTCTGCCCAGTTCCCAAGAAGAAAAGACAGCCTTTTTAGATGACAAGGAACTAATTTAACAGCTGTTAATATTGATAAGGAACAGTTGTCCTAAAGCCATGATTGTCCCAGTCCAAGAAATTTCATCTAATTAAAACATTGCCCAGCTGAGCAAACTGCTCTGTGAAACAGACTGTAAACTTTTATACATGTAGGGTATATTGTGTAGCAGCACCACAGATTTGCGGCAGAGTGTTTGTATGGTGTGAATTAAAACTGGGTTTCTTGAAATTGGCTGCAGTACGTACGGTACATGTACCGGTACATGTACACGATCATTTGCTTTAGATTTGGTTTAAAAAAAAAACATTAACGGCTCCACTCCACACAGAAAACCCCCCCAACAACACAACCAACAGAATTGGGCCTGTGTGACTTGCCATGGTCACACACCTTCCCCTGGCCAGGGGTCTCATCTACAGGTACCGGTAGGATTGAAATCTCTGGCCAGCAACTTGTACCAGCACCGGTAAAAGCTGTCTGTCCACTCTTGTTCCAGGTATTCCGAAACTGATTTCCTCGGTGGTTTGATTCTGTTTGAGATTTTGCCCAGTTTCCGTCGCGCCCATTGCGTTGGAAGGAGATGCAAGTATTGATTCACTGGTGTTTAAAAGATTTACATGTACATGTACATGTATGTAGAAGAAGATGGAAGTTTTTCCGTTTTGTGAAGTCTCAGAAACTTCCTTTCCAGTGTTGATTTTTTTTTTTTTTTGGCCTGGCCTACTACTGTACATGTACTGGTACATCCCTTTTGACAAGGCATGCCTATACCACATGAAATGATTGAAGCCTTTGCATGCGAGCATTTTGTGGTCATGCACATTTTGAATGAAGAGTTCACTCAAGCATTAGTACTTACACGAAGCTGTAGGGACTACAAATATGTTGAATGACAGTCACTGTTGGAGCAAATTTGTCAATTTGTAACACGGCCCCTAATTTCCCAAAGAAAAATTGTTCCCTCGGTGGGGGCCAGTCAGAGCACAAGAGTTTAAGCTGATGTAGTTATTTCTCCATTTTTTCGGTGGCCTGAAGATCTTATTATGTGTGTGCGTGTAGATTTAGCAATAATTTATAAAAAAAAAAACCGGAGTTGAAACACGGTCCATCATGACTGTGGTCTCACAGCAAAGCACTCATCATCCTGTGTAGAATTGCAGAACACTACTCCCAAAAATTGATTAGTTGGCCGTGGTTGATAAGGGAAGTCGCCCAGCTGGAAAAAAAAGTCCAATTCCTCTAATAAAAGGAACTGACATTGAAATAAAATTGCAAAGGGAAATGGTATGAAAGCGAAACCACCCACATGTACATACAGTGTGATTTTTTTTTTTTCTTTTGACCCGGTGCGTCGCTTGGCATGACTGAACAGCACCGAGAAATTACAGATGTGTCACTGCCGTTGGAAATGGAGCAAGAATTTTTTTTATCTCAGTGAAAATTGCACAAATTCTATCGGGTGTGCTGACCATAGATTCACTCTGTGTGCAGTGTTTGTTGCTCTGAAGAAAGTATACATTTGTTTACATACCTGTAACTGTGTATATTGTACATTGTGTGGTCACACAAACTCACTCTTGTTTTTTAAATGCTGATTTGAAAGGTACGTATGTTTTTTAAATCTTTTTGAAAATTTGCGAGCGATATCCAAGGTGTTGGTCGATTATTATTTGATGTGACGTGCACGTAACGGAATGTTTACATAGAAAGTACACCGTATTGTAGCCCATCAACTGTGCCAGGATTGATCTTGGGTGTGCCCATTTCTCTGCAGAGTGACAGACAGCTATTGTGTGTTTAGTCATCATGGTAGGTCGAGTGCCATTTGCGTTCCGCAGGCATGTGCCAGCATTATTTTGTGTAGCATTTAATCACATTATGATGATGAGATATTCCGTTATGTGTACACGCTGGTGGCGGTGGTAGGATTTTTTAAGTAAAGAGTAACTACTCTGGTAATTGCGGCAGTGTGTTCAATGCACTGTATGTGTGTATATATATGGGAATAACGTTGGACTAGAGATGCACCTGTGCTTGTGTATCAGACTTTGGTGAATACATACAAATACATGTATATGCATGTACCAGTACGTTTGTTCTGTAGAGTGAAAGTGCAGCCTGTTATGATGTTAGAAAATGGATGTCATATACCAAATCTTCACAAAGGATGTACACATATCAGTGTGACCTCACATTAACTGTGTCGTTATTGATATGAAAAGTGTGTGCGACAGCTCCTGTTGGATGTACGTGTAAGTACCGATACATGTACTGTATATTAGTAATTAATAATCAACTTTTTAAGCATTTCTTTAGGTTTAACACAATCTTAGTTTTCAATTTACTGTAGGTAGAGGTACATGTACATGTACCGCATGAATGTACATGTACACGTATATTTGTGCATCATAGATGGGTCTCATATGTTAAATTTCTCATGTTTATTCTAAAGTCTTGTTACATGTAGTTTATGAAATTAAAGTTGACAACCATTCTTCACCTTAACCTGAGTAAATACAAATTAGTATCTCGTCCCCAATTGCTTCCTGGTTTTCTTCTCATACCACCCACATTTTTAAGTTCTTAATTTGTCTTTTACTTTTTTTTGTTTTCCAGCATATTGTATGTACTGTGTGTTCTGCATATCATTGTATACTCACACTCAAAACCTGTTTGGTAAGGCAATCGCTCCTTCAGGCACAAAAGCATTGATCAGCAAATTATTCAGTCAAATCCATCCTCAATCGTGTAAAATTTTGGAAGAAAAATGTTCAACCCTTAAAAGGTGGAGAGGTGGCTTTTCTCCCATTTCTCAAATAAAAAGAAGGAAAAGAAACTGAATCAATTTGTAAATCAACCCATTAAAAGTGTCCAGATTCTAAAGTCCTCATCAAAAGCGTGTGGTGTGCTTAAGATTCTTATGAATGTGTTCTCGATCAAAGTCATCGGTAAATCACCAATTTTCTAGAGCACTTGAGGGCAAGGTTTCCTGAGCAGTTTGGAGGTCTCCCGCATCATTCTCGTTGCCTTCCTTGAACTTGTATCAGCAGGATGCAGGACGTAGCTCCTTTTGTACTGTTAACTCTCAGAGAAGATCCTCTCTCAGCCAACAATTCCTTAATGCTTCCACCCTCCCGCCCCCCCAAAAATTAAGGATGATATAAGGCTCTCTGAGGGTAATGCATGATGATCCAAAGATCATTTTAAGACAACATCAGGATACAGGAATCTGCCTTCGCCTAAACTTCTTAAGAGATTTTCCTTCCTTCCTTTCAACCCTGGAGCTTCTTGAAGGTACATGTTGCACTGGGGATATCATTTGCTCAGTGCCAGTGGCAATGATTTTGAAATCCCGGTCATAGAGTCAGGAGGTTTGAATTGATCCATCAAATTCATCAACCCTTCCTTGCTTTTCGTCATCCAGGAATTATGAATGCACATTTTGACTGCATATAGTAGAGTCCCCTAACATGGTGCACTTGGACGTTCGCTTGACGTTCTTCGCACGGTGTTGCCAAACCTCTTTTTTGAAAAGCTTACAACTTATTTTGTTAAAAACTGGCACTATTTCCTTCATGATACTTTTAGTTGAACCTGTGTGAACACATTCAGTGTTATGAAATTTGTTCCAAATTCCAAACTGTCGGCATTTGGAAATTGGGGTCAAATTCAGCAGAGTGTTCCCTAACACAGTGCGCTTGAAAAAAATTTCTAAACAATCCCTTACAGACTTTAACACAATTCTTTGAAGTTGATAAATTCTTGTAAAAGCATCATCACTTCCACTCAAATACCCATCCACAAGTTTGTCCGAAAATTCTTTTCCCAATTTTTGGGCACATTTTAAAAGAGTTCATTTGGCACATGGGAAAAAAAAATTGGAAAATCAGGTGAAAATGAAAGTTCATTCAAAATTTGCAGCAGGTATCAGTACATGTAAATAAAATGAAGATTAATGAATCAGAATACTACCGGTAGGAGGTTGATGAAGTTGTAAAACTTGACTTAGAAATGTTTCCGTTCACTGGAGAATATTGTGAAAAACATCCCTCGGACATTAAAAAATACTGGTCTTCCTTTTCATTTTACTGTACAGCAAGTTTTATTTATTTCAAAGAGTATAAAACACTCTTTTCCAGCAATTAACTTCTTTCTTCATGTGACCCCTATATCCATGACCTTTGACCTTTTGAAATAAGAAAAAGTAAAAAAATACAGGGATTGTGTACAAAAGAATGAATTTCCTTTGAAAATGATACCAGCCATCAAATATACAAATACAACAATTCAACAAAATCAAGGGATCAGAAGTCCTGATCAGCTGTTAGTGTTGTTAGTGAACATGTTGAAAGCACCCGTGTAAACATAGCATTTTTCATTGTCGTTTTGGATTTACCTTGCCACATTCTAGTTCGCAAGAATGTCTCTAAACATCATTATAACTACGAATGAAAACGTCAATGTCACTTGCTTCCATATCAGAATCGCTGTCACCCATTTCCTGCAGAACTTCTTGCAAAGTTAATCTTGCCATGGAAGTTGCCATGATGCAGACAGCGTACGGTTCACACACTTTTGCGTTCACCGTTCATGTCAGATGCATGAAACTTTGAAGAAGCGTAGCACTCTGACCTTTTTTTTTTCTACAGCAAGTCGTCTTTCTTTATTGCATCTGAAAGGGGAAGTCCCAAGCTTCATTCCAATATGACCATAGAGGTCGCTATTCGCGTGCGTTAATATAATACCGTGCAACAAAAAGGGGACCAATTTCGGGGGCAGTTTCGGGTGCCAGAGTGAGTAATAAGCCGGGTAGTTTCATGTGCAACAGGGACGAAAGGGTTAAACAATAAAAACAATCCCATCAAGCTATCTCTATACTTCTTTATTACCGTTATAAATTGATCATGTGATCACTTTGCCCTCGCCTCGTGATCAGCAACTAATAAACAATTAAAAATTCCCGTTAAGATATCCTCTCGCTGTATGATAAACATGTTTCTCTACGTACATTGTAGAGAGATGTATCACACAATGAACATACACATATGGTCGCCATGGAGTTCTGCCTTGGCATGATTGTATCAAGCACGGCGTACTCATCATTATTCGTCAACCTTGCAAGACAAAAATGTCGGGAGTTTACTCTTGCAGGACAGGGACCTGTCACTGCCTGCTCTACTGTTTAACTGCTTCATGTTGCCAGCTGCTTCTGCTTTGGTCGGTTTGCACCAGTGTCTCCAGTGCTTCCGTATTGGATTCCTTCATCAGTCTTTACCCCTAATATGCTGTCACGCTAATTCACTTTTGCTGCTCTCTGAATGTGCGGTGGGGAAGTGCTCCGTTATTCATATTATTGTACATGTACCTCTATGAGCCAAACCAAAATTTACAACCATCCTCATTGAACAACTTGAGGTGTACACGTACATATACTTACCATCATTGAGGTGCCAAGGCCTTTCTTGTTACCATTGATGGGTTTGCGTAATGTGCATATTAATGTATGCACTGTGATTTTGACAAACCAAGAACTGTCTGCATTATCTCAGTCTTACAAGGGCTTTAGACTTTAGTGAGAGCATCAGCATTTTGTTTCTCTCTGGTTTTCTCCAGACATGCAAGCCCTCCTTCACCTGGACTGCTTTGGGGAAATTCAAGCTTCCACTTGCTTTTGCTGACGTGATTAATGCTTGACTTTTCTTCCACCTCTATACCCCTCTGACCCTCTCATTCCCTCCTTCCTTCCACCTCCACCCTGCTCTAAATGAACCTCCCAGGTCAACAAGCTGTGGCGGATCTTGGAGAATCTCGAGGCCGGTGTCCAGTACGAGGTGAAAGTCCAGGCGGCCACCACCAATCTCCAGTCCGTGCTCAAGGAAGGCCAGGCCTCCGAGTCCGTTTCCTTCACCATCGAAAAACCAGGTAGGAGTCCTGAGCGAGAACATTAGTTGTCGGTGCAGTGCCCTGCTGAAGCTTGCCGTCAAAGTGAAGTGCGAGCATACTGTAAACGTTTGGTGTCATGTACCGGTAAACACAAGCAGAACAGACAGGGAGTGAAACTTCTTGTCTTTTTTTTTTTGGTATAACATTTACTGCTAGCCCTGCTGAACCCTGTGATCTATCCCACAGTGCTCACTTTCTGTTGGATTTTGTTGATGTGAGCAGTGTTCTAGCCGTTAGATTCTGTCAGATTCAGGAGGCTCAGTAGAGTACCCAAAGTGACTACATCATGGGCACAATTATGTGTGCTAAAGGCATTAGCACAAGAGCTAGTTTGTGAACCAACTAGCGCGCATACTCCCATTTGGTTGTACTGCATTTCCTGGTCCAAAATGATGTCGCACTTCACCTCTATAATTGTCTGTGTTGTTCAGTTGGATTCAGCAGGGTGCCCAGAGATAACCTGAAGGGTGTTAGGCTTAAACAAAGACAAAAAAAAGATTAAGATTGTCCATTTCAAACAAATAAAATGGAAAATTTTCATGTCTGCTGCTGTCAAAACCCTGATTAAAATTGCAATTTAAAACACTAAAAAATTATAGTTTTGAATCATACATATTTAAGACAGAAAGAATGTACATGCATTTCGATAAATTAAGAACACTGAAACAAAGATAACACATTTAAAAACATAAGAATAAAACTCAAGATAATTTTGGTTTTTTTTTTTTTTCAACCAACCGTCCTATACAACCAAAACCCCCCCAAATCAAAAACTTAAGAGTTGGCACAATTAAAAACTGAAAATGGCACGAATGAATTCAGATATCGGCTTGTATAGCTAACTATAACTGTATCATCTGGATGTTCCAATATATCTACATCATCTGCATTGGAAACACAATCATTTGTATATAAAATAAACCAAAGCAGGGATGTGTTAAAAACACACCCTTGCGGTGTTCCAGTAAACTGTCACTACAGGTGCTCTCAACCTGAACAGGTTGAACTCGATTCCGAAGAAAACAAAAGAGGGAAATATTCTGTGTTGACTCATTCCTCTCCAGAGTTAATAACCAAGGCCATGCAATCATCCACAGGCATAAACAGTGTAGGTTTTATTCTTGCATTTCCCTGTCCTCTACCATGTTTGAGATAAACATGTGATATCTGAAAATAAATGCAGGAGTGGTGAAGGGGCATTGCCTGGTCACACAAGCTTCTTGGTTCTATTTTTTTTACCCTATCCCCGTAGAGTTTGTGAAAAATTATGCTGAAATGTGAGGTTTGAGGACAGTTGTGGTTGATGAAGGGACCATCGAGCTGTGTATTCACCAGGGAGCTGAGATGATTTCACAAGTATTAATGGGCCCTATGATTAGGGATTATAGTAATGAACCATGGAATCTTTGGCTAGGATATTGCATTTCGGGATTGGCGGGATTTTCTGTGGAACCTGACATGTATGGGGAGTACATGTACATGTGCTGGGGGTAGGCTGAAGCTCGCTGCTACAGCCTTTGTGTAAAAGTTACAACGTACACGTAACTAATTTGAGTAGTCAGCAAAAGAGTTGCAGAAAGAATTGACCAACTTCTAGAGTGGCCTTTAACTTGTAAACGAAATAGTCATTGCTTTGGTTGTGTGGCTTTCACTTTCACAGATTTCAAATTTACTTTTCAATTTGTGCTGTGGTGCACTAAAAGAAATTTAATTTATCAGCAAGGCGAGTGGAAAGGACCCACATATTTTCCACTAAAAAGGTACATATACCCACAAAAAGCAGGTCTTCGTGTACATGTAAATGTGTCTGTGTATAGAGTAACCCTCAGTTACGGTCTGAACAGTGCAAGTGCGGGTGTGGAAACCATCAGAGTCTGTCAAGTTTCAGATGCCATCAGCGCGTAGTTTTCTTGCGTTAGTCTTTTTGTGACTTTTTTCCATTCACAGTGTGAGAACTCACCATGTGCATGGGCGGGTTCTTGCACATTTTGCGCTGGATATTCTGAGAGCGTGGAACCGTTTAGTGTCGGTGTGCGCGCGGTCTCTGCATGCGCTCTGGACACCCGGATGAAATGATTCCCACCAACCTGCCTGTTCTTAGTTGCCAATGAGGTGGTGCATCATGTCGTAGTGGATGGGACGTCCAGGATCTCCGTCGTAGCCTTTATTTTACTCCCAAATGTTTTAACGTGCCCCGCCTCCATTTCCCTCCCTGCCCCAAGCCAGTGAAGCACTACAAAGGCTTCTTCTCTCTCTTGTTCTCCTCAGCTGGTAACACAACGGAGTCCCCAAACACCACTGCAGCTGCTCCCAACGGCACGGAGGGCACGAGCACCCCGCCACCTGGCTCCAACCTGGGGGTGATCATCGGTGTGGCCGTAGGCATGGTATACTTTGTGGCTACGCTGATAGTGTTGGGGAGCCTCTTCTTCATCAGGTAAGGACCAGACCAACAGGTTTTCAATTATGGCATTAACCCTAACCCTCCTCAATCCTCCAACAGGTGAAGGATTGAGGAGGGTTAGGGTTGATAAGTTTCTGGCCGTCTGTCTTGAAATCTTTCAAATAATGTAGCTGCAGAGCATTTGATATGCTTGAACGTCGGTGAAAGAGTTTCATACATGAAATGGAATGTTGATTCAGGATGTTCTCAGTCATTCCCTCGTGTCTTGTGGAAGTAAATCTTCTTTTCGAACAAATTTGGGTTTATTTGGATAGAAAATGGTGATCGATTAATTGAGTAACCCAGTGATAATACTCCTAGCCCTAGTGATGACCTAGTTTGCCACTCAAAGAGGAAATTAAAGGGTTCATGAAAATTAATTAAAAAAACAGAATTGAAAAGATGGCACTGTACACATCACGTTGCTCAAACCATGTGATGGAGGTTTTAGGGGCGTGTGAAGCCCACAAAGAGCTGCAGCAGTCACCAAAGGTCAGCACCACTAATGGTCAGCATTTGTACATTGTATATAAAGTCCAACTTTGTAAAGGAAGGTGGCTTCGGTATTGTGCTGCTTAAAAAAAGGTTTGTGTTTTTGGCCCTGAGAAATGATGCTGCTTCCGTGACATGTGCGACATGAAATGAAACCATCAGCAGGTGGCTCAATTAGAGAATCACGATTGACTAAGCATAGGAAATACATGTAGTTAAGTTAAGGTTTGGGAAGTGTATTATGGCATGTCTCCCTTCAGTGGTGGAGACTTTATATCTCTTGACCCCTAAACCCACGCCCAACTGACGGCAGATTGTAGGCGGCTAACCGGATAGGCCTAGGGTGCCAAGTCCCAAACCCTTGAGGGTATTAACACTGACCTTGAGAAAAAAGGTTCTGACAGGATGATCCCTCTTTAACACCCCTGTACTGGACACTCCTGTTGTACATGTAATTTGTGAAGTAATTGGGATCAGATTTGAAGACCTGATAAAGAGAATCTTGAACACCGTGCAGCCTGTGGCGACAGAGTAAAAACAGCACTGAGATACATTTACCCGAAGTCTAAGTCTTTGTCTGTGGCAGAAAATAATGTCAAATTGTATACCAGGCACAAAATGGGTCAGAGGGGTACCTCCCCCCCCAACAAGTCCAATCCCTATACACACTCCAGCCTATTGTTACTTAACAACCCCCCCCCCGATGTCTGAAGAGAATTCCTGAGATACCTGTATAAGAATGACCAACACAAAGGCAGGGGGGTTCTCTCCGTCCCATAGTTTGTATCAAATGTCAAATTGTCCACCTGCTAATCTTTTGCCCTCTTATTACATGTACATGTACATGTTTACTAGTGGATTTGTAAGTACGACCAAAACGACGCACCTGACTCAACCCTCTTTATTAACCAAGAACCTACATGTGCATGAATTTCATAGTGTGGGCAAGTACTTGTCTTTAATCACAAGAGGTTTCCTCAGTATAAGAGATCATGCTTTTCAAAGTGTCAGGCAATGTATTGGTCTTGACTGGTTTGTCAATGATTTTTTTGGGGGGGGATGTTACATATGTTGGCATGCACATTGTAAATATTCAGAGCCAGATTTGTGTTTAAAAGCTGTTAAAATGGCCATGTACATGTATTGTCCAATTGTGTCCCTTTAATTTCATTAAAACAGTCTTTTTCTTCACACATAAACATTTGGCCTCAAATGCAAACATTGCAAACATTGAACTGCTCAGGGCTGCAGTTAAGCAACAGTGACCTCCCTTTAATTTTTCTTCTTTCGAAAGCGCCACCCAATGTCAAGCTTCATCCTTGGTTTCCCCTTCTGTTTTATAAGTTTTGCATCAGCTGTCACCACCCACTTTTTTTTTTTCACCGAGAGCAGACACCCTTCCTCAGTCCCCCACTAGTCGAAGGAAACCCACCGGCTGAACAAGAAAATGCGCCAGCCTGCCCTCGGAGCAGATGACATTCAGTGTTGCATCCCGTCTCCTGCTTAATACCGGTTCCCGGTCTAAAAATACTTGTGATCTGATCCTGGCTGTCAGTGCAGGATAAGGGGAGGAGCTCAGATGTCTGGGGTTTTTTTTTTCCAGGTTTTTCTGCTGGCAGGTTCACACAGCTCATTCACTTTATTGGACTCTTTCTCCTTCGTTGGACATATCCAGTGCATAACTAGGGTATTGGACATGCGGTTGTCTTCAACAGCAACGTGGTACCATCCTTGCATTGAAGTGTTTGCGTTGCACTTATGAGCAAATTATTTTGGATATATGGTGCTTTAAACATGCTGTTATTATTATTGGTTTTTTCACTTACAGGGAGTCAAATAAATACAATGTTCATGTGTCAAAATTGTGCCGTAATCAATTCGTCAGTGAATTCCATTTGGGTGGAGTCCGCCCATCTTATATTTCACTGATATCACCGCCATACAATTTTACAGGCCGGGGAGGGGGTCTTTTGGTTGGTTTGTTTTTTTCTCCGGCCAGACATGGGTTTTTCAAAATGTTATCTCATGTCACAGGCTTGACTCTATTTTTTTTGTCCAAGAGTGCTGGAAGACGGGCTCCTGATTCCTCAGAAATTCCACCTGCCAGTAATCCAATAATTCTCTGTTTTTACTTAGGCCCAGCTGGTGCATCCAGTAAACAGGCACTCAAGCTTTTTTCCTAAGACTTTACTTCCTCTTTGTGCAGGCTTCATCTCTACAATCAATCCTCAAATTTAGGCCGAAACTTTTGTTCAAATTAAATAGAGATACGGGTACTTCAATATTTGGCGGTGCTTACATTTTAAAATCAGGGGGGTAGCAAGTCAGCCGAAGCCTGAGACGGAGACTTAAAAGCTAAGTAAAATTGTCCTAGGAGAATGTGTTAGAAAAGGTTTTGCTATCTGTTCCACCCATTATTCCTCCCCACGGAAAACGGTCAGCTTACTGCAGATCAAAAGGCAGGCCTTACCGTGCCAGAGGGGGAATTCAGCTAATGCCCAGGAAGAGTTGAAACTGAGCACAAGAGTGCCGGTTGCTATTGTGCAAGTCCCATTTGGCTGGTTGAGGATTAATGTTTCCCCACCTCTGTGATGCGTTGTGACAGATTCAGCCCTGGAGGGGAGCCTGTAATTTTTTCCTCCTGCATTAAGCTCTCCAATATACAACAGGTTTGATGCCTTGTTGGCATTGGACTTGTACAAAGTGACTAGGTGTAACTGTTAATGTCCTGTTACTTCTTCTGTCCGCAACTGGACTCATTTTTGGCCCTCAGATATTTTTTACCTCCTGCATGTCATTGAAGAACAAGTTCCTTTTTCTGAGGTTTATGAGAGTGCATTGCTCTTGACCCTGTAATTAGACGCCAAGCTATAGTTTGGGTTGAATCACATTATCCTATGGTACGCTGATCAGTCGTTTGTCATTTATCACATTGTATTGTTTCATATTTTTCTTGTATTTTCCTAAACAAACAGAAAAAGAAAGAAGCACTGAACATGTGACCAGAGTACGGTACTGTTGACATATCATAACTTTGGGAAAATATGCATGTAATTCAAGGCAGTCAAGAAGGGATGAAATGTTGCTCTGAGGACTTGTTGAGGAAGTAAAGTTGGCTGTCAGGGAAGGAGGTTCTATATTGTCAGAGTTTCTTGACTGCGCTCTTAAGAGGTTTCAGTTCTTGTTGCTAGTTGTGATTCATTTCGAAAAATAAGGGAGCGGCGACAGCCTTTGGTATTCTAGAGTGAAAGTGAAGAATATGTACATGTACAGTTGTGAGGTCTGTGCACGAATACAACAGAACATCCACTAGTGAATAAGAATGATGCACATACAATGTAGATCAGCTGCTGCCATGATTGTAAGACAGTATTCATGTTTTTATTGCATCAATTCATGTCATGCTGGTTGAACTATGTATTACTGTATTTCTCTATTGTTGCATGAATTTCGTTAGCCACAAGAAGGTCTGTGTAGATTCTCTAATTATGAATTTAAAAGGTTAATGTAAAATGGAATATTGCTATATGAACTTGTTCTTTAAAAGCCACGACTACAGAAGCCACTAGCTTGGATGTCATCCAAGAAAACTATTAAAGACTCTCTTAAAAATAGCCTCCTTGAGAAAGTGGGTGGATTCTATTCTATTTAGAGCCCAGGAATTGAACGTTTGCCAAGCAGGTCTTATTTCCAGTGGAGGTATATTATTTTGGGAATTTCCGTTAAATGGCGGTAGACCGGGGCTTTAAGTTAAAATCGGGGTGTAGCTCTTTTAAAAAAATGTTTTAGTTACTCGCAACTGCTGAAGACCGGTGCATGATGAATTAAGCTCTGCAGATTTTCTGCATTTCATGGCCTCGTTTCTCTGAAAAAAATGAAAGGTTAATGCTTTCCTCAAAAGTATAAGAAACTTTGCTTGTTTAATCTCGCGTAAACAGTTGCAAATAATTGCTTAAAGTGACCAGTTTCCTCCACAGTGATGGAACCGAAAAGTTATCCAACTTCTGTCACTCTTTATCATTGTGGATGCATGCCATTGGTCACATGACTTCTGTTCTTGATGACCGTCGTTAACCTCATGCATTTCTGCACACCAAAGTGATGTTGACAGGTGGAGGAATATCTAAACCCCCTCCACGCCTTACATCCTTCGGTGAAACCCTCAGGGCTGTGTAAATCTCTTCAACTGTTAATGATGGTATAAACTCATAGGGAAATGGACAATTAGTGCTTAATATCCATATCCTCTGCTGAACATGTGCATTTCACTGAAAGTGATCGTCACGCTTGATAAATGTGACATTTTCTGGGTGTAATTGGAGTCCATGCTGCTTTAAAACTGTGTAAGCAGTCACGATTTACATGTATATGGGCATTTGATTTTATTAGAAATCTATTAAAATGACTTGTTGGTTTTTCTTATTTACATGTATCATACACAAAATGCAAGTGTCTTTTTCCCTACAATCTCTTAGAAAATGTAGAGGCTTCAGGGATTAAGTATTACATCATTGAAGGATGTCCAGTGTATATGTACATAAATGTAATTGTACATGTACAATTGAAATTTTCTCCGGTAAATTTCCATCAGAACTGGAAGGTTGTGTACATGTACTGTGTGCACATGTACATGCAGTATGCATTGTTGTAAAGGCAGGTACATGTAGTATTATTGAGTGGTAACTGAACCCACTCAGCCTTGTAGGAGTGTGGATCTACATGTAGCTATCTGTTTTATAACGCCATGGTAAGAGGTGGAAGGTTCACCGTTCAGCTGAGCAAATACCAGAGTGTGATTCTCCTATTACAATTCCACAAAGCACGGAGCATACATTGCTTCTGTAGTGCTTTCTTGGTGAAGGCAGTGCAACTTTTAGAGAGAAGTAGTTGAAGGAGATGGTTGTTAAAATTAAGGCATCCTACATGTTTATCATCCTACATGATTGTTTTATCACTTCTGGGAAAACTGAGGATTTTTCTTTCTTTTTGTTTCTTTGCAGGGCACGAAGGAAGGACCGCCTAGAATTTGAAAAGCAGGAAAATGGCATGCCACCTGCCTTTGCCAAGCCAGGTGAGTGGAGCTGGGATTTTGTGACATGTACGGATTGACTTAGATTGTTAATTGGCAAGCTGCCCCCAACAACCAATGTAATCCGGTAACTGACTGCCCTATTGACTTACTGGCTAGATAGGGCTGACTGACTAGCAGGTTGCCTGGCTGGCTATACATGTAGCTGGCTGCCTTCCTGGTTTATTGGCCAGCCACCAGTGTGGTTTGCTGTCGTGCTGGGTGTCTCAGTGGCTTTCTCCCCATCTGACTCCCCAGTTGGCAGGTTAGCTGACTAGTGAAAAGCTGACTGACTAGTTAGTATCTTCACTGACTGGCCAAACTGGCTTGTTACCCCCTATGTACGTAGTTTACAGGCTGCCTGATTTGGCTGCCCTACAAGCTTACTAGATGCTACCTAATCATGTGACTGATTAGCTGACTGTCAGATTAGCTGACTATAAAATAGGCTGGCTCACTGATTTGCTGAGTGGATGATTAGCTGACTATCAAACTGGCTTGCCTGCTGATAAGCTGACCAGTAGATGTGGCTGCCAAAGAGGCTAGCTGTACATGTAGCCGGATGTAAACCTCTTCATTCATAAAAGTTTGTTTAAAGTCCTGGTTTGCTTACAGCTGCCCATTTCTTTCTCCCAACATTGTTGCAGATGAACTGGAAGAGCCCCCCATACCAGTCGGCAAGTTTGAGGCTCATGTGATAGCAAACCATGCCGACAGTGACGGTGGCTTTGCCACAGAATATGAGGTATTTTGCTCTGTGAAACCTCTTGAGACCACTGGAGGCAAATTCACGGACCAGCCTGCTCCAAAATTTTGCTCAGTACAAAAAATGGACTTGTTTAAGAGGAGTGATAATGATAGGCCAGTGTACTGACACGGTCATATGTGCGCTGAGGGATGACAGATTCAAAGCTCCGTAGGAAAGTGTGTATTGTGAAGAAAGATATCACTTATAGTGCTTTTCCGGCATACCAATGATCTCTTGTTTAACACTTATTACCATGTTGATCAGGCCAGATGATTTGGCAGTGCATATACATGTACATGCCTGTAGTCGCTGCCCTCATAGCTTTGTAGCCATTCACACTTCCTGGGTGGAGAGAGGTAAGCAGGAATAGAATGACTTGTGCAAGGTTGAAACGTGTTACCAGCTGCAGGATCGTAACCCTGGTCTCTGTGATCACGAGTCACATACCTTAATCACTGTGCCACATGCCCCCGATCAGTTATCTTGTTTTCAATCCTGCATTGAAGTGTAAGTTTTCTTGTCTAATCTGATTAAAAATCGGTGTTTTAGTCGAATCCATCACAAGTCACATCACAAGACCCATCTTAAGTAACAGGGTGAACAGTGACAAAAGACTGCTTTCTGTCAACGTTCACTTGAATGGCTTGTGAATTGGCTTGACACTGAATGACCTGTGATGGACTTGAGATGGATTTACATGTTCAGGTACTCGATTACATATACATGTACATCACTTTAAAAAAAAAAAGTGCCATGTGTTTTTGCTTTTGTTGTCCACTTCAGGATATCCAGCGCGTTAGCACCAACTACCCAGCCCTGTCAAGCATTGATCCCAACCTCAAATACAAGAACCGTTACACAAACATCGTGGCTTGTGAGTCTTCACTTTTCAAAATGTTCTTACAGTAAAGAGATTATTTCATTTAAATTGTCTCAGACTATTATATTACGCAAATCATGTGGACAATGACATGTTGCCTTTATCTGTCAGAGTCTGGACTTCAAATCATTTGCAGAGTTCATGGTGTATTAGAAAGGGCAACTTGGTATTCCCCACTTCCTCATTTATCATGTTCGTGACAAAACGAAGAACAGTGTGAAACAAGGATTTAGCACCAGTGACATGAATTTGACCGTTTAGACATTTCTGTATATTGATATATATGTCTGTACTAATAAGGACAACAGAAATTTACCCAGTTTGGGGGCAATTGTCATAGAGGGGGGTGGATTTCTGGTTGCATTCAGCAGCACCTCAAGCGTATCCTTTGTATGTAGTTTGACATTGTACTAGTATATTACATAATTTACATGGCATGAATTACATTTGGTAAATTGAAAACAGAAGTATTTAATCGTGTCATGTGGGTTCTTCCTTAAGTAACTCTAGACTACCATTTTTCAGATGACCACACGAGGGTGAAACTGAGCATCTTGCCCAATCAGCTCTTGTCAGATTATATCAACGCAAACTACATTGATGTAAGTGTGCTATCTACATGGTTTTATTGTGGTTAGCCTCAATGTTCAAGTTTAATTCTGAAGTTCATTTTCCATTCCCTGCACTGAAATAGTACATTATTTGACTTCAACTTCCCCATATCAACTAATCGTGGCATTTATGACGGTCACAGTTGCTGTGAGCTCAGATTATGCCCCATGCAGTCAGTGATGGGATCAAGGAAATTACATCATCTTCCCTTTCTAGCCTTCAGTCGCTCTTGAATTAAAGATGACATCAGTGTGGGTTTTTACAGTAATGAAATGTGACATGAGACCGCAAAGTAAGCTGAAAGGCAGAATTTTTACTAGAACTGAGATACAGATATTTTTGACTTACATGTAAGCGGAAAAAGAACTTTCCTATATATATAACACTTAGGGTAACAGTAGGGAGGCAGTTTGACATTATTTTGGTGGCTGTGGCGTGTTTTTTTGACATTGTTTCAACATTTCTGAAGCATGAATAATGCTATTGCCAAAATTGACGGTTTTTTTACTTGATTTTTAAAGAAAGTTTAAAATTTAAAAATGTTTTAAAAGAACTTGACCTTTTTAAATGTCTGATCCTGCTAAAAAATTTGGAATTCAATTGAAAAAGTTTTTACTGTTTCCGAATATCACAAGATCCCAAGGATTGATCTCTCCTTCAGTATCTGACTTTGAACCGTCATAATAGGAAATAGTGGAATGCAACTTCATGCTGCTTTTGTCATGACAGTTTATTATTATCAAAACAGATTTATTTTGGTAGATCACATCCCACTTGTTTGAATAATTAAAGTGCAGAGGAAGCACCGTCGGTGTACCATACAGTGCTGGACTACACAGGATGTAGGAAACTGAAGAGATTAAATATAACAGGCAGTGTCACACATTTATGCAAATCAAATGGCGTGAATCAGGAGATCATTGGGAAAACGACACAAACAAGGAACATGAAATGTTCTCCTTCGACGAAGTGTACCTTCCTGTTTCTGCCATACATTTCCTGTTCTTGTAGTCTGTTGTTTGGTTTTCATCCTTAATTTCCCGGTATTTACAGTTGATGAGTTCACTGATCTACTGTGTGGGGAGGGTTTTCAGACCGATGGAGGGTGTTCTCTCAGCTGAATTGAAACCAAAATTGATGAGGAAATTTTTTTGATCAATTACATGTACATGTACCCATTCTCTGGCTTTCAGAACCATATAATTATGGGCTTTCGCAGGTCATTTCTACCAAATGAAAACGTTGCTTTCTTTGGCTACCCATCTACATATACATGTTTGATTTGATGTTCCTTTGTGCACAAGTAGAGGCCTGTGTTTTGCGCCCATCTCTAAGTGGGTCATTTTGTAAATTAGGGGTCCATTTTTTGTGTGTGTTCCTGTCACATCTTGGCACGTGATTTTGTAAGTTCAGAACACATTCTCTGAATTCTAAGAGTGATGAATTAATGCAAATTACCTGCCAAACAAATAGAAATAGTTTGAAATCAATTTAAGCGATATTTCCATGTCAAATTACACTCGTCCTAACAGGGACACAAGAATGTCACACTTTTGGACCCTGACAATGACTCCAATACGTTTGGACAATGACCCAAAACACACACACATATGCTTGAAGCATAAGTCGAGATTCAAAACCAAGGTTTTAGAAAACGTGCAATCATCTTGGTCATAGCCATGACTAAATCATCTTGCTGAGGCTAGGATTAATGGACTCATTGTAAAGGTGCACATGTCATTCAAGCCACAGCATTTGACGTTCCGACATGCCTACTTAGTATTGGTTTCTTTTGGCAACAGGGATCTGTTCTGTTGAGGATTATGGGCATTTCACTATTTACTTGAAGCCCATTTAAGGTTCTGGGCCCAATATCATGGCACTGCTCAGCAGAAGGAAAAGTGTGCTTACTCAAGCAGAAAATATTGCAGTAACCTCAAGCACTATTCCATAGTGTGGTTGTGCTAATGGTTTCAATTGTTACGTTTCTATTTTTTTTTATCCTACACACGGACACTGCTACTAAGTGGCCCCAGGGCAGTTAATAACAAAAAGATTAAAAATACCAACAATCTGATGCCCATTTACTCAAGACCTGTGCCTCCCTACATATTTTATGGGCATCATAAATAAATTGCAAGGTTGTAGAGTAAGTGGGAAAAAAACCCGCCCCCAGCAGCTTTTTCAGGTAAGAAAATCCGACGTTAACTGGCTAAAAGAAAGTGACTGTGTGCCGATTGCAGGGCTACGGCAGACAGAAGGCATACATTGCCGCCCAGGGGCCACTGAAGTCTACCGTCGAAGACTTTTGGCGGATGGTATGGGAACAGCACACCATGGTGATTGTCATGATCACCAAGCTGGAGGAGAGGGGAAGGGTGAGTGGCTGATTGATCCCACATTTCTTGTGTCAAGTACTTAACAAGCACCCCACCTTTTTCTCTCACTAGTCATGTCAAGCGCTGTCAAGCCTGTACATGTATGTCCGGACCCATTGTTCAGTGAAAGAGGAGTGACTTCTGCGTTTCCTGTGAAAAGCTTATGGCTTGTATTGTGACTTTGGGTACTTGTGATGTATCTGCAAAGGCTTATGGATACTGGAGGGGCAGTTGTAGGTACTTTTGAAGTACTCAACTGTAGTGCTGTGTGTTGTCTCCCAAGATGACCTGGCAGTGCTGGTTCATATGCCAACGGAAAGCTATTTTTACATTGTTAAACGTTGGCCCCAACATTCACTGCTGTTAACCGCTTCCTGCCGGGCGACCCGTTTTTGAGTACATAGGCTTTATATGCAGAGCCGGGATCCAGGAACTGGGACAAAAGAGTTGGGCCTTATAACAAAGACCGTGCTCAGCACAAAAGACTGAGCTGCTGGGCATTACCGACATTTTTTCACTGTCAGTAGTGGAGATAATCCAGCCTTATTTTGAAACAGTATACCACGGTTTGAGGCATTTAGAGCGAGCGGATTACCACTGGGGACAAAACTCTCCACCATCGCAGCGATGAGCCACACAGCACCGCTGCACGCTAATCTGGCCCCTATTGAAAAGAGGTCAGCAGTGCACTGTGCCGGTTTCGGGAACAAAAGAATCTTATGTAACACCGCACAATCTGGGCTCTTTTTCCAAGGCTACCGGCCGGGCTGAAATATTCAGGAGTCAATGAATTTTACCTGTCAGCTTTAGAGTAGTGCCCAAAGAGTCCTTCATTATGGTATAAATGGCCATTAAATGAAATATGAATTTTTGAAGAATTTTGAAAACGGAAAATCTTGAAAATGAGCCGGCATCTTGTCTTGCTCAAGAAAAATTCACCCGGCAGCAAGTGGTTAAAATGCATGAATCCTCTTTTGTGAAACTAGAGAGCAAATGAAATGGCATCTACCCCAAGATTTGTTGGTGAGGATTGCAATGTTTAACCAGTTGTCAATACTAGGACTAGTGTGTTTCAAGTTACCTCCTATTCAAGCAATAGTTTATGTGAACAAAAGATAAAAATAAACGTCACGGCATACATAGAAATGACAACCATGACAGAAAAAGGCTTTTCTCATAGCTGTGGAACCCCAGCTGTTATCTTAGTGGATCCAAAAAGAGAAATCCATATCTCCAGAGATAGCTAAGGAAAGTACAGAAGTTTTTGTCCTTGCTCGTTGTTTAGATAGCTTGATTGTGCTTAACAGTCCAAGTGGCAATCTGATCATTTTTATCTTGTTGTGTCATTTCATTTCTGCTTTTTTTCCCACCGGCTTTGGATTGGACAGTCCCAAACTGGTCAGTGCATTGGGAAGGTTATCTTGAAGATTGAACAGCCTGTTTATTTTTGTAAACCCCCGAGATGTGGTTGCAGCCTCACTTGCCTGGGAAAGTTGCAAGGACGTCCCTTGTGAAAAGGAAGCACCCATGATGAACAGAATAGAGGCTGGTGCCAAAGTGGGATCTTGCATGTTACGAACAGGGTCATGTGATGCTAGAAGATGCGGTTGCTCATATCCGATCTTGATGAATTTGGCATTGGCCACTACCTCTGGTGGACTGAGTCACTTGTTTTGGCTTCGCTGCCTGAGCACAGAAATGTTATGAACACTCTTTTCCCTGACACATTTTGACCAATACATAGAAAAGTTTGTTTGAGTTCAAATGACATATGGGTAGTTCCAGAAATTAGGGGTCCATTTTTTTATTCGTGTCCCTGTCACATCTGACATATGATTTTGTAAGTTCAGAACACATTTTCTAATTTCCAAGAGTGATGAATTAATGCAAATTACCTGCCAAACAAATAGTAATAGTTTGAAATCAATGTCGGTGATATTTCCATGTCAAATAACAAGGATCAGTTGTTGCAGGGATACAAAAATGTCACACTTTTGGACCCCTAATTCCTGGAATTACCCATGTAACTTGTGAAAAAAAGGTGGATGCTTGCTGTTGTACTTCCGGCACAGTTGTTCTCTCGATTTCCTGGAAACAAATTTGTTGTAAATGAAGGATTATTTTTAAGAAAATGGAATTTACCCTGTCCTCCCTATCCCCTAATTTACTGGCATAGATTTCCAATTGAATGAGAAAAGCAGTTCAGTTTTGCAGGTCAGTGCTGTTAAAAATTGGAAACAAAGACAGTGGGAAAGGCTTCTCATAGAAGTGTTTGAAAATACACAAAAAAACCTTTTGCAAAGGTACATGTAGTGTGTGAAATGGCAGATTTACTAGTACTGACTGTTAATTGATACCTTTCCTTCTTGCCTAAGTGTGTCTTTGGAGCTGCTTTGCAAGGCTCTCTCTGAGGAAATATTTGTGGCTGCACTTGTACAAGCTTTGAGCCACAGTTAGTTTGGCTAGCAGATTATCTCCCCAATATTATACTTAAGACCTCCACAAGACCAGACACAAAGCCAGGCTATTCAAACGCCTGAGGGTGAACAGTGACCAAGGAAAGGTTTTGTAGCAGTTTTGTCATGTTCGTTGGCATTGCTTTTGAATTCAGACTAGAGGTCTTGTGGGATCTCGTGATAGCCTTAAGGGATCTCCAACAGGGCATCCCACAGACAAATGTTGTATGATACCAGTATTCAGTCTCTTTGAAAGCCAAATTTTTTTTTTCTCTCATAAGAGGATCATGTTTGAGTGGTTGTGTTGATGCAATTTTTCTGTTTCCCCCCCAACAGCGAAAGTGTGATCGCTATTGGCCGGCTAAGGGCATGCCCGAGCGCTACGGGGAATTTGAAGTCACGCTAGAGACCAAAGAGAAGTACGCCAGCCACATGGTCCGCCACTTCCTGCTGAAGCACAAACACAGGAAGGTAACGCCATTCAAAGAACACAGCTAGGTCACATTGGGTTGTTGGGTCTGAATGATTTCCTAGTCTGAAACACATACGTGCAAAGATCTGGATTAGGGAAGGGCGCTGTGGGGCTTTGCGCCCCTCGGTAAATTCTGGCAAAATGAAGGAGAGAGTATAAAGAGGAAAAAAGGAAAAAGCCTGCCAAAATATCATGAACCCGTGCCTTCTGTGAGATTGCAGTATTTGACAAGTCAGTGCACGGTTTAGACTGTAAATTCTCTGCCATTCCCTATGTAATGCAAGTACAAGGGTTCCTGTGTCCCCCCCTTCCGTCTAGAGTGACACATTTACGGCATACATGTAGCTTTCCTCTGAGAATCGAGCTTCATAGCAAGCCAGAGGTTCAAGCCCCACATGGTTTGAAATGTTGTTGGATCTTGAACAGTTAAGTGGTTTGCCTTTGAAAAGATTCTACTAGGATCAAAACACGAGGCCTTCGGTGAGCTCTCAGCTGAACATACCATATGTCACTCCATAGCAGTTCACAGCAGCTTTTTCAGTTTTACTTTTTTCAGGTAAAATGGATGCCTTTAAGAAATATTTGTCCAGCATGGCGTTAGCACTAACCCCAACCCCCTAGGGAAGTATTACATAGCAGTTGTCATAGTGAGAAGCACGCTCAGTGTAAGAAGAGCCATCTGGTCAGTCATCCCCAGTCTCAAACAGCCTCATCAGCTGAGGCTGCCAAACACCACAAGATTCAATGGGACCACCTTCCTATTGTCAAAGCATTGGCTCTTAAACTTAAAAGAGCTGTTTTTTCTCTCTTTCTCTCACAGCTGAGGGGGGGGGATCCTCCAATTCTTTTGCAATACAGCATTATGTGTAAAGACATTCATTGTGAGTGCATCAGTGAAGTTTAAATGAAAACAACATGAGGTTTTGTTTCCGTGGTCATTTATAGTTTGTGGCTTCATGGTGTGGCTGATCTTTCATCTAATTGGTGTCAAAATGATTGCAAGATATCACTGGAAAGCTTTCAAAGATTCTTTGCCGAACACGGGCCTGTTGCCCGATCCCCCTTCCCCGCTCTTTTGGGGTTGAACGGAAACACCGGCACTGTTGACCGCCGTATGTAACAAGGACTCATTTCCATGTACCCACTGGTAGCCAGCTTTCTGACAAAGTCGTAGGGTTAAGATTCAAAACAGGTTTTCACCGTAACTGCTGCCAGATGATTGGGTATTCCATAGGCTTGGTGCTAGGAATCATGGGAGATTTGGTTCAGGCTAGAAGGTATTGTAGTTGAAGTTCAAGTACCTTCTGCTGATCCCATCCTAATCATCTGAATTAGCATTCGGTTGACAGGGAAAGCAATTTCAAATTGCCTTTTTGTGAACTTCTGAGTCCTTTAACTTAGCAGTAGAAAGGAAGAGTCTAACAAGAATTTTTTTTCCCCTGTTTTTTAAAGTCATACAATCCGATCCGATGTGAGTATTCCGGTATTTCGTCATGGGCAGTCGGGCGTCATGCATGTCTGATTCCATGCTGTCTGTTCGCAACATCTTACCGGCGGCCTCTCACAACTAACAGTGAAAACAACAGGTCTGCCAGACACGATGTCTGGGTCATGCGGGCCTACTTCAATCATAACGTCAATACCGCAACAACCCCCTTCCCCATTAAAAAAAACACTCCCTCTGTCGTCAGCATGAATTTTGCGGTAGCTGTGACGTACCTTCATCAATTAGGCCATTTCCCTCCCAGACGTTTCAGTGACGCACATTGTCACCATTCCATTCATCACCACCTGTGACCGCCCATCTGGCCTTATTTGCTACCAATTGAAACAACACCAGAAAGAAAGTCCATTTTCATGGATTTGTTGGGCAGAAAACCGTGAAGAAGATTTCTGTACTGTTATAAGAACAATGAACTGGCCTCAAGTTGTGTTCTTCACATGGCAAGTTAGCTGGTGACCTATTTTTGGCAAGCACATATTTTTGACCTTTGCACTTCATGCAGTTAGCCCAGCTGCATTTAAAAGCAATGATTTTTCCTAACACTTAGGCAGTTTTTCCAAGAAACGGCTGAACTTTCTGGTACGCTAAACAGTAAACCATTACCGTGTTTTTCACACTAAAACCTGGGACTTCAAATCCCCAGTTTTAAAGTAACAGCAGCCAGGGTGGTAACATCCTACAGAGTGGAACCGGAGAACTGCAGGAAGTTGGCATTCAAGCATTCACCAAGGGGCTTACTCACGATCCAACTTCTGTATTTCAGTCATTCATCATTAAGCTTTCTGTGAAATGTGTTCCTTTAGTGGCATTCTCATGGGCTTTTACACTGTACATGTAACATTTTGCTTTGTCTCATTCTTTCCCTGAATTTACTGACTAAATATTTCACTGTTCAAAATCATTTACCTTCATAAGCAAGACATGGATTTGGATGAATGCTAAATAACCACAAACATCTTTACAAATAGAAAATCGGTCACGTTTAAAGTACTTTGTTGTATTTTGCTTTGGCTGTCTGTAAGGTTTTTATTTATCAATTTTACTCATGGCAAGAGGTATGATTGTTTTCAGACCTGGGGCCAATTTCATAGAGCTGCTTAAGCATAAAATCTGCTTAAGCGGGGAAAAACTTTGCTCAATAAACAAAGGTTACCAGCTCAAACTCTATCTGATTGTTATGCTAACCAAAAAACAGCTAAATACGATCCCAAAACAATACACATAACATGGAGTTTTGGCTGGTTACCTGATTTATCAAATAAGGTTTCTTCGCGCTTAAGCAAATTTTGTGCTTAAGCAGCTCTATGAAATTGGCCCCAGTATGAAAAACGAACCTTCTAAAACGTAAAAGAATGAAAATGAAAGGAAGCTTAAAGAAATCAGTATAAAGCCCTGTCTCAAATTTCTTGAAATGATTGAAACTTTGGAAAGGATGTCAACTATGCATTGAAACCTGTAGGTCTTTCTGTTTAATTAATTTCAGTTGCTGGACTGAAGTGGCAAATTTAAACCTGTGTATTTAAAGAAGTAAGATTTTTGCATGTCATTTTCACAGTCTTTTACTCATACAGTGAACATGTATCCAAGACACGCAGTAACTGTGTGACAGTTTTTAGTCCGGATGTTGTTGGGTTGTGGCAACAACCTGTAGTTCGACTGAGGTTGGTAAAAAAAACAAAAGTGCAGCCCTGATGCAACACAGGATAGCGAACAGCGCCACCATGTGTTGAATAGTGTCCAGCTCGCCGTGCTTCCCTCTCCACCTTTTTCAAATTTATTTGCTTGGTACTTAAAACAAAATAAATCTCTTTCAAAATTATCAATCTGTAGGTGATCCACTGATAATATTCAGATAACTCAATATTATGCAGACTCCATAAAGACTAATGAAAGCCATGTTTGATTCAATATTTCGTTCTTTATTCAGAAAGAACGAAATATTGAATCAAACATGGCTTTCATTAGTCATAGACACATTGAATCAAACATGGCTTTCATTAGTCTTTATGGAGTCTGCATAATATTGAATTATCAATCTGCTGTGCGAAACTTTGCCATGAAACATTATTGACTTAGTGCCCAGTAACTCCTGTAAAGTACCGGTAAATTCCAGTTGCCAAGTTCGTAGAATTACTTTTACAGTGCTTGTGATTGGAATCAGGCATTGGAATTTTGGGATCAGGCTGCTGCAGGGTTACTTCCATCACTTCCCAGCTCTGTGACCCCGATTCGAGTCCCATCCAGGCAAACATGTGGAGAAGGATTCCATGGGTTTTCCCAGCAATACTTGTTCAGGTTTTCCTCTCACCTCCAAACTTGAACATTTTTTATTTACTTCTTCCGTGGGGTCCCTTGGGGGAACAGTTCATGTGTAACTGGTAGGGATGCCCTGGTGAAATTAAGTGGCAATATTGAATGAATATTTGTTTGGTCTTTTCTCTCACTTGCTTCCCACAACATGCAGGATGCTCAAACAGTAGGTTCACTCTGTTCTATTTTGCTGATGTTTGGATGTGTCTGTCTTAGATGTTGTAATAAGTCCATCACAAGTCTATCACAAGTCATAATTTCAAGTTGACTCACAAGCTATTCAGATGAGCTGTGACAAAGCCATTCTTTTGTAACTGTTAATTCACTGTTACTTGTGACCAGACTTGTGACCTTACTCAGGACTTGCAACTGGACTCGCGACCAGACTTGTGACCAGATTCGTGACCAGACTTGCGACCAGACTTGCGACCAGACTTGCGACCAGACTTGTGACCAGACTTGCGACCAGACTTGCGACCAGACTTGCGACCAGACTTGTGACCAGACTTGCGACCAGACTTGCGACCAGACTTTGTGACTGACTTGTGATGGGATTCACTATAGGCTCCACTCCAGCTCTGTCGTCTTGAACCCTATGCATTTCTTTCATTGAATTTATTTTCAGTGTTTCTAAGTGGTCTCCCCTTAGTAGGTGATAACAAGCAGATGATGGCACTGTGATGGAGCATGATTCACAAATAACTAATCACTGGTTTAAAATGCTAAGCTACTATTACCTATTTAAAAGCCTGCTGACAAGTATTCTTAAGAATGCAATGAGTAATCCCAGTGTAATTAAATTACGTATTGCACAGTTGGGGGATTTCTAGCAGAAAGTGGCACTGTAAGCCTTAACGTTCCTGTCTGTTCTTGTTATATTTCATGCTCTGATGCACTGTGTTAATATTAGTCTGTCTACGGCACTCTACCTACTCAACCAGTCACTACTTATGCAAATTTCCCAAGGCGCATATTATTCATTCGCTGAAACGATTTGATCACCCGTGGTGCACCCTGACATCCCACAATGCAGCGCAGCCTCGCCACCAATCATCCACCTTTTCTCAGCGCCGTAACGTAAGGGACGTGTCTTTCAAGGCATCTTCGATTTATCAAGCTTCTGTTTTCGCTACATGGTTCTTGGAACTTTACAAATTCCTTATGTTATCAGTTATGGAAAATAAATAAATTTAAAAAAAGAAAGAAAGAAAAAGAAATTCCTTGTCATAGATATGACCTTGTATTATCATTGCTCGTCCTATCTGTCTTCGATTATACATATATTGTGAGAGTCCATCAGGCTCCCTCCTCAAATGAACATGAGCCACTGCCCCACTTTTCCAGGCGGCCGTTACATGCAAATGCGACCTAGGATCCGACATATCTACGATGTGGGCATCCAGACATGATCCACACAGTAGCACTATCCGGGCCAACTTCCCGGATCGTTGCCCCGGTGAATATGCCATCGGTACACGGACCCAGTTCCGAGTCTCCGTCATGGCCTTCTGGAGCTACTCTCGCTGCCATTGGTAGGTCCACTTAGGCCACGGTGAAGCAAGTCCTTGCCTTACCTGGTGATCTCTAATGACAGCTACAAGTCTAAACCTGCCAGCGTTCGAGACTACGTCACTGGGCACCAAGACAGGAACGCACAAGTAACATTTTCCAGGCAGTCTTCCTATCTTTTTCAGTTCTGTCACAGTGAATTCGTCATCGTGACGCAGACATACCATTGCGTCTCTGCAGTCCGCATCCTCATGCATCCGAACCTAACGTTCGTCAAGCCGTTGGGATTTTTACACACCCTTTGGCACCCCGTAATCCGGGCTTTCCTCAGGGGGCCCTGCGGGAGAAATTTTGCACTGCTTCTCACCATGTACAACACTGTGATCAGCAGAATGACCATTCTGTGGGCCCCAAATATGTGGCTCCACGTGAGCACAGATTCTGCTGTGCGGCCCTGTCATAACACACACTATCCGAACACCGTTCACTTCAAAGTGGGCGTGTCCAAAATCTTATTACTGTGACTGTTATGAGGTCTGTCAAAAGAAGGCCAGCTGTGAGTCACCTATTTTGTTGCGATAGTGTCGCGAGCTTTCCTTCTGATGCCGCTAAGCATGATTGAAGCGAAGAGAGAGAATACCGGCAAATTATTTTCATTTCTGAAATGAATACTTTCTGTTGTTAGTTCTTAGCACGATTTCGGGCATCGAAGTGGTTATTGTCCGCAGAGATCCTTTCCTTGAGCGGAAATTACTAGCAATTTCCTCCAGTCAAGGTTAACATGTACATGTACTAGAATGAGTACTCTTCTCGGAGTGAGTTGCTATGGACGTTCATTTTGTTATTCATATCACGAACGTCACGCGGCCTGACTCCTCTACGCCGGCCATTTATTTTCAGGTATGCATCAAAATTATCATAGCGGCGAGGCCGTGCTGCATTGTGGGAGGTCAGGGTGCACCACGGGTGATCAAATCTTTTCAGCGAGTGAATAATACATGCATGGGAAATTTGCATATGTAGTGACTGTTTGGGTAGGTATTCCCTAGTAAACCCGACCCACACTTAATGTGGGGAAGGACTTTGGCACATAGAGTGTATAGATTGCATGAATCTGTTGTATTCAAATTCAGGGGGGGGGACATCTTTGCATGATGTGGTGATCAGCATTTCCAAGCTCACCACCGGAAAGTTGTGGGTTTAAATCTTGTTTTTGTCTCTTCTGGCTTTAATTTCAAAATCCTACCTGCTATTCTCCCACCACCAAGGGCTGTAAGTCCAACAAACCTATTGCACTCACTATAAGTTTCTTGAAATGTGCTACCTCTCAGTATGTTCCTCAAAGTAACTGCTCTGTATAAAGCTTATGTGCCAAGAGAATATTTTTTTTGGTTGGCTTATTCCAGATTGTTTGAAAGGTGGCTTGTCCCTGTGATGTTTAAAAATGCGTGACTTGTTATCTCTTCTTCCTCTCTGTTTTTGTTTCTCAAGGATGTAAATAATACAGTAGGTGTCTAAAAGTGTCAGTAAACAATAGATTCCACAGTTCATTTGTAGGAACAAATGGCACAACACAGAAAGAAAAAAAATGAGATGTGTAGGCTGTGGACAGAGGAAGTGTTCCGAATGGTCGACCCAAAAGTGATACTGCCAGATTTGATGGGGGCAGAGGTCAACCAATTTATGCAAACTCGACTTTTTTAAGCAACTTTCTGCTCAGATCTATCGGTAACTGGGAGTGTGCATTGGCTTTGCTTTTCATAACCAGTTTTCACGCTTGTGTGGCTGATGTGGTTTTATAAACATCAAGCCTTCCTTGAGTCTTCGTAGATGAAAGTGTATATGGTACTCACGTCATTTCCCATTGGTTCTAAACACAAACATAAGGTCCCAGAAGTCTGTAAAGACTGAGGGTGTATTGAGCTTAAACTTGACCACTAGGCAAGGGCAGTCATGGAGCAAATATCACTCTATGTTCGGGCCCTGGAGTGTTGAAACTTAGGAGGATTTGGTGAGAAATAAACCTACCGGTATTCTGTACAAATGACTCTGAAAGAATTGTCATTTGACTGATTTAAAAGTTATCTAGTTAAGTGTTTAGCCCTCTTTACAAACAATTTGTTTTTCTGCTAAAAATATAAGCATCCATAGTTAAAAAAAATACCTTAAACTACATCTTCCCTCTGTCTGTACCTCCCCATTCCTTTCACGTCTACATTCATAGTTTATGGTGGACAACAATGAAGTAAATGTTGTTTGGCTTGTAAGTTCTGACAACCTCTCTGTTACTTTTAGTACTGGTTTTGTTTTCACATTGTGCATGACACATTGTTAGTGGCACATTGATGGTGGATACTCCTTTTTCACATCTTGTGTGCAGTTTAAGAATTCAGGAATACAGGGAAGTTTTGGAATAAGTCTGACAGTAGTAAAAGCATGATACTATTGTACAGTTTGTAAAAAAAAAATCATTCTGCATTTTCCCCAAAATGTTCTCAAGGCACACTTACTTAACCGACATGCGTATCAGTGTTCTCTAGCTTTGTTTCATTTTTGAAGCCATCGTAATCAGTACCATTTGGAATTTTCCCCCTGGAATTCTCTTTTTACTTTGTGACAGAGTGCTTTGGTTATAGAATCGTGTATGTGGACACAAGGTTGCATGCTGTTTAGTGTTAGATTGTCACGTGATCTTTTTGTGTTGTGTACCATCTTAAGGAAGTGACTGTTGTACTTTTGTCTCCAAGCAAATTTGAAAGCTAGCTGCCCATTGGTCGATCCACAGCGACAGCAGCTGCTCAGTGTGTGTGTCTCACGCTCCCTTTGAGCTCAATTTGCTGTCACACCTGTCATTAATTTATCACTTTAAGTTCACAGTGCGATCAGCGCAAGACTGTGAAAACGTTTTGCTCATCAAGTTTGCTTGACTTGTTGGCGTGGTTCGTTGACCATGGTTGAACTTAGAGCATCTGCAGTCTGTGTGCTGCTGATCTTTAGCCTTAATATGAACGCAGTCATGTTCCATTTCACTGCGTTCCACTGGCGTAATTTACGTGTGTATTAGATGGTATTTTGTTCAATATTGTGTTCATATCGGTAGTGATGTGGACAGACTTCATGAAACTGTGTTTGAAATTATTTGTTTGGTTTGCCCATTTTTTAAGCGTTTAGAGATCTTGGAAGTCAGCCTTTCGGATGGCAGATTTTACTGAATTTTGCTGTGATCTACCTTTTGGGGGTTTCGATTCTTTTCCTAAATGTCCTTAATCTTTAAACAAAGGAATGAAACATTATTTATTTGCCTGTTCTTTGTAATGCTAAAAGAAACAAGCAATTAATACCCAAGTGAAATTTTTTTCTGTGGCAACCTCATTCGCGCAAACCCTCAGTAGGGTGTATTACATTATACCAATGGCCTTTTCCTTTCAAAGAGCACCTCTGAAGAAAACATGTTTCCTCTGATTTTATTGATTTTATCTGTTCAAATAAATATGGAAACATCCAAATCAAACGCGGTGTCATCTGTCTTCAGAACTCAACTATAACAAGCTAAAAAGGGCTTTTTTTTTTGGTCTTGCTAAGATGCGAATTCTGAGTGTAGATTGCATCATTTGGAGAAAATGAGGGAACCCTTTCCCTGTATTCGTAGTGGATAAACCCTTGTGCATACCAAACTGGCTACAAGCAATGGCTACATGCACTGCATTCAAATTTGGATGCTTTCATATTTATTTGAACAGATGAAATCAGAGAAAACGTGTTTTCCTCAGAGGTGCTCTTTAAACTTGGTTGGTCTCTTTCATCACGTCATCAGCAGTGGCCCTAAACTGACAGAAAATCTATCTCTTGTTATTATTTTTTATTAATATTTCTTTCATTGGCATGAAAGCTGTTTTGCTGATAAATATTGTCACACTTGAGATGTACATTAAAAAGCACTGCATTTTGTCCATTGTAGGTAATGTAGTCAGGTTACCATTTTGTTTTTATGGAATGTTCAATCACCACAAGGTCTTCAGCATGAGACTTGAACTCAGAATTTATTCACCTGCACAGTTTTGAAAATTGTGAACAGTGAAAATCGTGGCTGCCACATTAACAGATTTTGTTTTTGAGATCGCTAGTTTTAAAAAGAAGTTGATGTTGTTCACCCAAAACTGCCCAGAAGTCTTGTGTTCTCTTTCAAATATGCAGAAATAGTCTCATGTAAGCGTATTTACAGTGATAATTTTTCCCATCCGTTTCTCGTACAATCGTAGCACGGCAAAGCTCCGGAGCGCAGAATCCTCCAGTTTCACTTCACCGATTGGCCCGACCACGGCGTACCAGCTTACACGTTACCGGTGTTGGCATTCGTCCAGAAATCATCGGTAGCCAATCCAGTCGATGCTGGCCCCATGGTGGTCCACTGCAGGTATGCAGGAAATCTCTGAGGAGGATTCTACAGCTAAGCCTCAAAATTCTTCCATCGTTTACCTCTTTTGTCCGTGTAAAAGTGAATGTACTCGGTCTCATAAAAGCCGAAGATTAAAGACGTCAGATAAAAAGTTAGTCTTTAAACTGAAATTCAGTTCTAATTCCTAAACATACAAGGAGAATTTGGCGGTAGCTGTTTAGTTTCACCAAAGTTTACAGATATATATCCATTTTGATCCTGCCAAGGTGTGTTTATTGTTACGGAGAATCTTTAAGAATCCTTCAAAAGCCTCCACTTTCCAGGAAGCCCTTAGCACAGTATTTGTACTTAAACTTTTTAGAGACATCAAGCCTCATGTTGAAGTAATACTGGCTGTGTTCTACCTTCCTCAAACCTACAAAATCTGCCCTTTGAAGCCTCCTGGTAGATTTTCAAGGATTTGGTTGGGTTAGATTTTAAGTTGGTCATTGATGGACTTCTCTTTTCCCCATCCAACTTCTACCCCTGCAGTGCTGGGGTGGGCCGGACAGGCACGTACATCGTGATTGACAGCATGCTGAAGCAGATGCAGGCTGAGAACAAGGTTAACGTCTTCGGCTTCCTGAAGCGCATCCGGACGCAGAGGAACTACCTGGTGCAGACGGAGGTAAGGTGGTCGGCTCTCCATCAGGGCACGCCACTGCTGCAGACTTTGTCAAAATGGCATTCGAGTCATATACTGTACTGCTCTGTGGCATGACTGGTGACTATGGGATATCCAACTGAAGTTCAGAATGCCCAGTTCCATGTTGGTCTTATTACATCATAACCCTCTCAGAAATTTCTTGGGCACCTTTTTTGACAGAAAGTACAACCTATCAATCAGTTTCCCCCGGTTGATGTGAAAACAGTTTTATCCGAGAAAAAAGTCTGGAATAACTTGAACAAAACAACAGCGCTAGTCAGTTTACAGAAGAATTATATGTTGTCCTCAGATGTGACTTCAGATGGCTGGCCATTGATTTGCAAGGATAAAGACTGTATTTCGTGGATTTTGTCTCAAGAGGCAAGGACTACTTACAGGAGAACAATGTCTTTTTTGCTAGCGCTTGTGTTTAACCCTCTCATGATTTTGGCTCGACCCATCAGGAGCAGTACGTGTTCATCCACGACGTCCTCCTGGAGTGGCTGAAGGCCGGCAATACCACGGTGCAGGCAGCCGACCTGAGACAGTACACTGACCGGATGACGCTACCAGACGAGCAAGGCAAGGTGCTGCTGGACGAACACTTCAAGGTGGGTGCCATACGAAGACCTTTTACCTCCTGAGTCTGTAAAAGCCTCAGCCATGGCAACCTTCCCTTGATGTGATACTGATCATTTGCATGTTTCATTTCATGGGTAATGACCCGAGACACAATGGTACATACACATAAAACCTCTAAGAGATCGTATGTCGCCCTTTGGCAAGCCTGATTCTGTTCACCCTGTGGATAAACGGGCCCACTTTAGCACAGCAGAGCCCCTTGTTGGAGGACAGTTTGTGACTGAAAAGTCAAGAGTGTTGCTTACGTTGTTGCAACCCCTAGACTGGCTGTTTCCTAGATTTCTGTTCATCCTCTTCCCCTCGTCTCACCCCTGCAATGTTGTGCAGGGTGGCTCATTCATTTTGACTTGTGACCACATTATACCAATGAAATTACATTATGAAAGGTACATGTACAATTAAGCAAGGTCGGGTGTGTGCTTTAGTACCCAATGTATGCCTTCATTAAGTGGGGATTCATACATATTTCAAGATGGATGGAAATTGGCACTTTATAAAGATTCTGGTAGGAAATAAATTAACTTAATTTGTAAAAATTTGAATGAAGCAGACATGTATTACGACTCCATTTACCCACTGCTTTGATTTTCTCACATGCCGCAGTTCATCGCCACGCAGAAGATTCGTGATTACGAGTTCTCCAAGGCCCGGCACGCCCTAAATCGCAGCAAGAACCGGAGCAAGCTGCTGCCCATGGAGAGGAACAGGGTCTCCATCTCAGGCGTGGCAGGGCAGGAGGGGTCTGACTACATCAACGCGTCATTCATACAGGTAACGGCCAGGGGCTGTGGATGGGAAGCACTGGCGATGGAAGCCGGGGGGGGGGAAATGCCCCCCCCCCACTTTTTGACTGGGGGCCTGCCCCCCCCCCCCACTTTTCGCTGATCCTGTAATTGGATGGGGCTTAATGGATCTACCTAATAATGACTAATGCCTGATGGTCTAACAACTGGGCCCCCTCCCCACTTTGAAAATCCTTCCGCCGCCGCTGATGGATAGTGTAGCTTGTACATGTAGGTAGGGCCCCCCATTCCAGCCCCACCCCCTCTTCCTTGCCCCTAGTTTAGTGTTGTTGTAAAGGCCATTTCTAAGTACAAGTATATCAAACTGGATAGCCTGGTCCGGCTGAAATCAAGCGCAAGGAAACTACACAGTGCTCAAAATACTTCTAACCTGGAGTACAGCGTCTAGCCACAATCACTACATGTTACCCAAACTTGTTTCCTTTGTTGTCCAGTGGAGTAGCGAAAAATTTAGTAACCTACCTTTTGAAACTTTGATCAAAATATGGTAATACTTCTGGGGTTAAATAAATGTAGGTGCAAAAGTATACACAAACTTAGAAAAATGTGTTGGATAAGACTTGAAGCTTTGCACAATGGAGATAGACTCAAGAGAGATTTATCTACACCATGTGGATAAATCACTTTTATCCACACCATGTGGATAAATCACTTTTCACTTTTTGGAAGAGGTAGGGTTCTGAAAAGAACCATTGAGTGTGTACTCAACGTCTCTCCAGTGAACTCTGTTCTTTTTCAGAGAACCATACATGTACCTCTTCCAAAAAGAGATCTGTCCACATGGTATTACCGTAAGCCTTCTCTTTCAAAATGTATTGATTTCTATACAGGCTAGTAGAAATCTAAATGAGCTAGTACAATCTTCAGTTAACTAGCACATTGGGCTACCAAGGGGAAAAAAGTGATCACAGGGCCTGCTAAGGAGTGGTTTGAGGGCTTTGGTTTTTGAACATGGGTGGGAAATAGAGTTTTTAAACAAGAAGGCATTGTAATATTGTCCATGTATTTGGCAAAATACTTGGAAAAGGACTTGCACTAACAGAAAAACTCAGGATATTCAGGATACAGGAAAAATTACTCACTGAGAGAAACGGTGACCTGTGACGAATCACGCGTACATGATTTAAGTGGAATGAATCAAAGCACATGTTGAACAAGGATCCATTGGATAAAGTTTATGTTATGAGTTGCATCATTGTGAGACCCTTTGTTGGTTTAGCTTTGGTTTTTTTTTAGTGATTGTTGTTTATATTCTGATTCATTGCCTTTTGATTGGACAGGGTTACCGTAGAAACAGGGAGTTTATATTCTGATTCATTGCCTTTTGATTGGACAGGGTTACCGTAGAAACAGGGAGTTTATATTCTGATTCATTGCCTTTTGATTGGACAGGGTTACCGTAGAAACAGGGAGTTCATTGTCACCCAGTACCCATTGAAGGAAACCATGACAGAGTTTTGGCGTATGCTGTGGGAGTGTAACTCGACAACCATCGTCATGTTGACGGACAAAGAGGAGGTATGACCGCGAGGAGGAAAAAAAGGTTTCCAAAAAAAAAAGTGTCTCGATGGAAGTTTGCAGCTTTCACAACTGAGCTCTGACAATGGTCTCACAGAGCTTTTGACAGTGGTGTGACTGACATTTAAAATGTGTTGTGAAGAAGACATTGACTGTCCGCTGACTGACAGTTGAAAAGGGGTCAAGAAGATGTTGATACTGGCCAAACGGGACGTTGAGGATTTTACAACAAAAAGTTCAAAATTACCCTAGCAGATAAAGGTAATAGGTTTGCAGTAGCCCTGTGCAAAAAATATCTCTCTTGTGAGTGTGTGTGGCTCTGAAAAGAACCCAGATGGAACTAAGTTAGCGTCCTCTCCACATATCACCACTTCCAGACATCATATGAACCACTTCACCATTGGAATCCCTGCAGTAGGCTGACGAGGGATAGAGCATACTGTCCGAAACATCAAGCACCCTCTGGTTGTTAACAGAACCACACCTACTGACAACAGAGACGGTTCTGCTACAAATCTATTACCTTCATATGCCACCTTCACCATGAAAAACTTCAAATCTCAACCCAACAGATGTTGAAAATATCCCCAATATGATGTTGGAAATGTCCTGTTTACAACATCAGAAATTCACCAGCAGTACTTTAACGAAAGCCTAATGTTTCAATGAAAATGCCTCAAAAAACCCACAACACATAATGGGCTGTGATCTGTTGGGACGCCGAAAACAAGTCATCAAAAATGTGACAGAACCCACGTGGGGGCATTTGCAAACCTCTCAATATTGCCATACTGTGCACATGTCCTTACACGATTAAAGATAACTTTGGAAGGGGAATTAAGCATAACCTTTTTTATTCCACTGAACGAAATCCTTCACTTTTTAGAGTACTTCCCGTGGATTGTTATTCCAGTTCCCCTTTGCCTTTGCTTTCCCACAACTTACAAACTCCTCAAGGGCTCATGGATTCTTGAGGCGCAAGGGTTATACCAGTACATTGGTGTCTTTTAAATTGGAAGTGTCTAGTGGATTATCTTTTCACTTGTCATTTGAAACTTGATATTTCCTCTACTGACAAAGCTTTCCTCATGGGGAGTGGCATTGGCTCATGAATTTTCCCAATGTTCCCCTCGGGCAGACAGCTCTAGGGAATCCACAAGAGAACTTGCATTTCTTTCAGGAAAAGCATAATAGCCACCTTTCCTTGGTTTAGCTTTGGCTTTTTTTCCTCTGTACAATTTCATGATTATATGTACCGATCAATCTTCATGGAATGCTAAATAGAATCGACTAAGGACTTACTCCTCCGGAAGTCAGCACATTGAACCAATCGGCCGACTTTTGCCCCATCAGGAACAATAAAAAATACTGTCCGCCAAGGCGTGAGTCACATTTGATTGAATGCCAGATGTCTGCTCATTCTGCTCTGGCCCGCAGGACGACAGTCCCATCTACTGGCCCACCAACAAGGACGAATCCCTGACCTTTGGCACCATCAAGGTCACCCTGTGCGAGGAGGAACATTCCAACATGTCCTACATCACCAGGGAGTTTCTGCTGTGCTGCTCACAGGTACACAAAATGACAATTAATAAGAGCAAATCTTGATGAGGGAATACTGGAGATGAGAAGATTGTATTTGAGCATTTGGCACATATGGATGATTTCAAGTTGACTTGGCATCTGGAAGACCTTGTCCTACTCACAGTATATCTCTGAACAAGATCTTCCAAGTCACTCAGTCCTACTTGATGCAGACATCCAAACTCCTCTGGAATCTAATGTGCCTTCAGCATTTTGACAGCCACTGTAATCTAATGCAGGGCTTGAGGTCCCAGTTTTGTTCCACTTGTGTTCTAGTGCAAAGTGTGCTCCAATAGTATCACACAGAATTATCCGCTCAGGGAAGATTCCTTTAAAAAAATCATCAAGGTGTCTGGCCAATTAACAGGAACCACTGTTTAAATTACCAAGACTGTGTAACTGTTATTGCGCCTAGGGGCTCAGATAGGGGTGTTCATCTACAAAATGAGTGTAAAAGCGCCATGTATCATTTTCAACTGTTTCCGTTCAGTGATTACAATTCTCGTAACCAAACTCTTCCATGTAATTTTGTTGTCCTTGACTTTCCTATTAAAGGTATAATGGAGTAGCTGTAGTACGTAACAAGTTCCCTGTATTCTATAATATTAAGTCATCCATTCATCAAGAAGCCAGACTGGAGTGTCAGATGCAAAGTGGCAAAGAAGTTAACAATTGTGCCCAACTTGGAAAACTTGCTTGTCCTTTTCTTATGAAGCAGCCAATATAGCCGTTTCACAATAGTGCGCCACCAAGAGTTTGCAACGCATTGGCCAATCAGAACGTGCGAAATTTGTCGACCCTTTCCAAACGCGCAATGGGTCGACAAATTCTGTGCGTTGTGATTGGCCGATGCTTGCAAACTCTTTGCTGGCGCACTATTATGAAGTGGTCGTATTGTGATGCCTTTTTTTTTCCCTCTAGGACGAGGATCAGCTGACGGTCAAGCAGTACCACTGCAGCTATTGGCCAGACAGCTGCTCCCCGCTCCACACGGCCTTTGACCTCATCTACGCACTGGAGGAGCGCAGCAACATGCTGACTCGGGTCAACAAGGACGTGGTTGGACCAGTCACGGTGCACGACAGGTGAGCAGTCTGAATCTAAGGGGATAACGCTCCTCCTCGCTTGACTTCAGCCCTTTGTAGTTTGAAAATCCTACCTGTTATGCCACTGATGACACCATTCACCCAATTCCGTTTTAAGAACAAGACATTTCTTCTAGGAAATGTTTGTTTCTAAACAAGGAATATTCGTCGATAATGAATAGCAAAAACATAATGTACTCTCATATGTTTGAGATATTATGTTTTAATACAATCAACTTTTTACATACTCCTAAGGGAGTTGAGATGATTTTAAGCGGTGTCGTAGTTGAGACCATCACAAGACCAGACACAAGACCATGCACAAGACCATGCACAAGACCATGCACAAGACCAGTCACGAGTAACATTGGGGAACAGTGACAAAGGAATGCTTTTGTTGCAGTTTATTTGAATAACTTGTGACTTGAATTCAGCCTGGAGGTCTTCTGTTGGTCTTGTATGGTCTTGTGTGGTCTCGACTACAGCACTGAATTTAAGAAAGTTAATGAGCTTAGTGAGCAGGAAAAATAGTGATATAGTGTCTAATGTTCTTACACTGATGGAGATGTACACTTTATGAATATACATTATGAGCAGTAGCACTAAGCAACCTTTATAGTGCATGCTGTCTTTGCTGGTAACCTATTTACGCTTAGCAGATAGTTGTACCAGTTGAGTGGAGTTGGATCTGAGAGTTCAGCAGCAAAACATTTGACGGAATAAAAATAAAGTCTCATTCCTTTTTTTTTCCAAGGGAAGCAGGGTTTATAAATTTTCCAAAGATGGCAGATGGATTTTCAAGACTCTTTGAAACAAAACATCTAAGAATTTTTAGACTTGCGTTTATAGCTAAATATTTTGGTAGAAACAAATATCAAGGTCCCTGCCCAAAAAGAAAGTATGGATTGGCGTTAAAGATGTGCTTGAAATTCTTTTGGGTTGTTCTGGTTTGGACCCATAGATTTGGGGGGCGGCAAGCGGGCACTTTCTGTGCCCTCTCCACGTTGCATCAGCAGATGATCATGGAGAACTGTGTCGACGTCTACCAGGTGGTGAAACTCTATGCCAACAAGAGGCCAGGAATGTTCAGTTCCAAGGTGAGATCCATCGCTCAGAAGTCGCTGAGTTTTATTTTGGGCACGGTTTCAAGTTTGATTATTTTGTGCTGGTCACTCAGGATAATTTCCTGTGTGACTTGCTTTCAGCCTTTGGGCTGTTTAATTTTCATATTTTTCTGCTGAATGTTTCCCTTTTGTCAATTAAAATCTTTCTGATCATGCAACTGAGGTTACTTCCAAATTTTTTTTAAAAAAGAGAAGTTTTTGAAGAAAGCTTTATTAATTTGAGAAGTTAAGTGGACGACAAACCATACAGTGACTAAAAAGCTTTACCACATGTTGGCATAGGCTGGATTTGAACCTGGGCCACAGTGGTGAGGCAAATACCCGCAGAGAAATCTGACTCCATTTGTTTTTCTCTGTTCAGGATGAATATCACTTTCTGTACCGAGCACTCCAAAGTGTGTACACAGCCGAGCAACAGATGAAGAGCCTCAAGGCGCACTCGCTGCACCGCCATGATTCGGAAAAGAACAAAGATTGGCACAAGATGCGCTACATGACCGCCGTGCCGGACAGCGGCAACTTGCGGCAGATGTCGGATTCAGCCCGGAACAGCTCCTTGGACAGCGACAACTGGTACCGGGCCCGCAGCCAGACACTGGGCAGCACGGGGCCCCAGCGCAGCCAGCGCCCGTCCAAGTTCTGGCACCGCCGGACCAAGTCGGAGAAGCGTAAGACCGGCGCGGGTAACGCCAACCTGAGCATTGCCAACGCCAACGCGCTGGGGGTTGCGCCCCCAGGGGAAGATGACCTACCAGGACCGGAGGTCTACGACTTGGCAGAGACAGTCCGGGATGGCCAGCCTGAGGGCAGCTTGGACTCGGAGAACCATGCAGGCAACGGCACGCCCAGCACCGTGCCGGACACCACAGTCATCCCGGAGATCCACCTGAACGGTCTGGACCACCTGCAGGGTGACAAGCGCCACGAATCAGTGCACATAGAAGACAGCGAGACCATCGCGCTGATGGGGCGATTCTCCCCCGACACCTCGCAGGAGAACATGGAGATGCCGGCCGACTTCCGCTTTGCCGGGAGTGGGAATGTCAAGTCACAGAGCCGGGAGTCCCTCGGGACACACAGCAACAAGTCAGAAGAAACGCGCATGTGACTGATCAGGTGAACCCTCCTCACCTGACCATATGCTACTCTCCACCTTGGGCAAGTTCACGAACTGTAGTTTAACCACCATTGCTTTTTAACAATGCCCACGTGTAGTTACATTTGAATGTCCCTTTTCACACTTTTTTGTAAAATCTCATTATTACTTACAGTTTGCTGTTACAGCTCTTGAGGCATTTATGGTCACTGACATCTGGTACAATCATATTCATGTGAATGGTTCCCTCCGTGCTGAGAAATTATATTTGGGTATTGATAACCAGCAGTGCAACTATTACCTTGAGCCTTGCACCATTTGGTATACTAGATGGTCCAAACCATCAATCATTCAAGCAGTGTTGGTCAAACTATAGTTAAATACAGTCGTTGCACAAACTTGCCCATTAGAGTAGCAATCTCTTCTGGTTGTTAGAGTTAATATCAAGGATGATTCCATAAAATTTTAGTTTTGTTACGGACAGATTTTGTACAGTTTCTTCCAGGAGTCCTGTGTGTTCAGAATCAACACTCCTTTTTGGCCAAGACGTCGATCCCTGACTCATGTGAATATCGAAAAATTTGACTTAAACTACTGCAAATTCGACTGGATGACTGTCCTCATCCTTATACATGAGGACAGGGTTTGCATTGGCTTCACAACTTCCTAGATATCATTGGTTGGTAAATAACCATGCTCTGAAATACACATAGACACAGAAGGTCATACGTGTGTCTGTGCGTGAAGTAAATATTTGAAGTTTGAAGTTTCAGACATGGGGAAGAGAAGTTGACATAATTGCTGACCCTTTATCTGAGAAGCAGCAATTATCAAACTCATGTAAATCAGCCACCAACATTCAAATAAGTCAACTGTTACTCATGCCAATATATTTGTATATCTGAAGTGCCCTCAACAACTCAATAAAAATGGCTACCATTCCCCTACATTTTGAACTTTTCCACACATGGACAATATTGTAAATAGTGCATATAGGGCAACAAATCTTGGCCACATACCGAATTTCAAAAACAACTGTAGAAATTGAGTGGTATTGAGCCTATCATTCCAGCTGTATGTTGTCAAGGAGCAGTGATTTTCCTCTTTTTGTTCTATCATTAATAGATTTGGCCTCAATGCAAAAGCAGTGCCACTGTGATTGGCTGCATGCATCTGTAGAGAGTTGGATTCATCACAAGTTGTGTTTGCATATAAAGTTCCCTGGAAGTGTTTTTGGGGATACCTCTTACCGCCAAAGTGATTGATGCAAACTGCTAGTTTCCAGAGGGGTGGATGATATTTCAGTTTTTAGCAACCCCCCCAAAAGTCTTTGAACAGGGTTTAGTTTTGTACCTGCAGTTCATTTTGTATTTTGTTTCCACCTTTTTTAACATCAGCGCTACGAATCGGCAACTTTGCGGCTGATGTAAATATACCTTGTGAGATTAGACTGGCAAGTGATGATGAAACTTTTTTTGGTTCTGAATTTCATTAAAGATACCTCTTTGGTTTTTTCTGAAGAAAGTAATTTGCCAAATGATTTTTGATGACTTATTCTTTTTTGTAGCTGCTAATGCCTTTTTTTCAACAATTTCTTTTATATTCGGGGAAAATCGTTATTTTTAAAAGCATTTTTCAAATCGAGTTTTGAAAACGTGTGAGAAAACCAGTTAAATACGGTCATGTTGTATAAACTCCTACCAAGGAAGTCTAAATACGTATATACAGAGGTTAATAAAACCTATGGTGGCCTACAAAGGCCACTAAATTTCTTTGGATGGATCATCTGCCAATCGCTGTATAGTTTTCTTGAATACTGGAAAGTGCAGATTGATTAACCTTAGCCAAAGAGAAATTGTAACTGGATCCCACAACATTAGTCTTTAGGCCATTATCCAGTAGAGTTGTTTTGGTTCACATTGGACCCTTGTTTTGATGTAACAGCAAGCTTGGCCTCAATGTGAAAGTGGACATTGCGTGGGTGAACACTACTGAGGGTTCCCACTGGTTTACGTTGTTTTCGTTCCTTCTAAAGGCCTTCGACTCAAAAGGGTGGGTTATGAACGGGTTAATTTGCCTTGAAACAAGTGTGAAAAATGATGTAGCTAGAATATTTACTACCCCCCCGCCCCCACCCAGTGTGCATCCTGTTTGTAATTAGTGGTTTCAGGCTCTTGCATAATGTTGCCATATCGTTCATGTCACCTGTACCCAATTTAGAATGCATCTCAACCATTTTATGTGCTGGTACAAAGTAACAAAACAGAAGTCGTCAAGTGAGAGACCGAAAATGAGTCATGTGTTGCCGGGTTGACATTACATTTCAGGCTGCAGTACCTTCCTAGTGTATTTCAGCAAAATTGATAATTAGAGAGAAGGGTGCTTGTTTTTAGAAATTGGTCTGTAGTGGATTTTTTTTTGGGGGGGGGTATAACTGACTTTCCAGAGCAAGATCTAGAAAGCCTGATTTCTTGGAGAAACTTTGGCCCACTTGAGCCCATTTCTTCATTCTTCAAGGAGGCTTCCCTAGCTTTGAAAAAAATGCAGAAGCTTCATATCATAAGAACTTTCCAGGATAAGTTTCCTGACACCTGAAACACCAACATTTGAAGTGAAAGCCTTTTTTTTGGGGGGGATAGGTTTGCTTTGGTGACATCTTACTCATTTTCACCGACATAGTACCCTATTTCTCTATTGCAGAATGCATGTGATATGGCAGTAATGTTTAGAGTGAACCTGCATTACTCCCTGGCTGAGTTTCTTAAACTGCTCCATCTTCTGCCAATGTTTCTCAGCAGACATTTGACAAAGAACCAGTTACAACTTCCAAACATGCACATTGCACTGAGGATGTCCGTGCACTGACTGGATAGCGCATCGACACCAAGGACTGCTATCCATCTTTGGAGGCCCAAAGTTAAACTATTTACTCAGTAGCAAAAGCTGGCTGCTGAAATGGTTTGCATATTGCTTCACAATAGTTCACTATTGATTAATTTTTGCTTGGAAGATCAAATTGCTCAGTGAAAGTTTTCTGTGAAATTGCGTTCCAACCTGAGGGTGATTGCTACAGTCCGAGAAACTGTGACATTCAAGAAATTGCTTAAACTTGGGGGTTTTGTACGAAATCCTGTGAAAGTGTGTGCTTGCCAGCATTGACATCAAACATAAAGATGGCAGAAATTTTTAACAGCAGGACCTGTTATGTACTTTTTTGGCTTTATGGGTCATTTGTAAATAGCGATCTGAAAATACTAACGTTAATGCCCCAGAGCAACCCTTCTGGTCAGTTTTGTTTTTTTTCCAAATTTGTTTCAAATGAATTTGTCTACTTAATTTTTTTTATAAAGGGCATTTTTTTTCTCTGTCATATGTTGAAACAGTATACCAACATTATAAATGATGCTATGACAATGTTTAACCCTAGCAGTCCTCAGTCCTCCAACAGGTGAAGGATTGAGGACTGTTAGGGTTAATGTTAACACAATACCTCATTATCAAGATGGGAAAATGTAAGTTGATGTAGGTGTTTCACTTTTATTTGCTGTTTATTTATTTGCCAAGTTCAACAGTGTCAATATAAAAATAAAAATCTTCATAAAGATATACCTGTATCACATAACATGATGGTGGTGCATTTTATATGTAAATGTTAACTTGCGTAACTATTGTACTGACAAGCGGGAGAAGGTGAAAGTATTATAGAACGTGTGCTAGTGAAGCATTATTCACCCAATGTTGCTCGAGCAGGAGGGCCTGTTTTTATTTACTTTTTACTTTTGTTTTTTTTTCCAGGTGTATCTGTAACTTTTTGGGGCACAAATGTCACCTTCAGGCAAAGAAGATGATATTTTATACCGGGGACTTAGCTTTTTATTCAGATGCGTGTAGGTATGATGACAAATTTCTGGGCCGGTTTTGGCTCCAAAATAAGATTAATGCGCAGTCCATTAATGGACTCGGTAAAATTTGAAGCAACTAACATTTTGCAGTTATGTCATACAGGGATTTCACATTAGCACCGTCTGCGCATATCCGCATCGAAAGCGAGGCTCTCTGTGTTGAACTTCGTCGTGCGTGCCCGCGGAGTCGACACAGTACATGCAGTATCCAGTTCGTAAGTGTGATGCCACTTCAGTTTAAACCACGCCCACTGTACATGCAGATACACAACCATCGCAGGTAGTTAGTTTGCGGTAAATTGCCTTTAATTTTCTTTGGATTTTACGTGTCGAGTCATCCTGAANAACATACCTTTATGTATTTTGTGTCTTAACTCCTTACTTTCAGTCATCTGATCGTATTAAGAATTGAAGCTGACACATACAGCCTCGTTTTCAAATGCGGCGGAAGTGCGCAGATCGACGCTAAAAGCATCGTATTGTGATCCCTCTATTGGGGAAAGTATAACATCGCTTGAGTGTGAAATCGCGGATTAAACTAAACACACTGTGGGCTTTCTCTGCACCTGTAATGTGTAAAATATTTACTATTCGAATAAAAGAAACTTGTGCCTATAAATTATAATGTCATAATATAAATAATACTCGCTCTGTAAATGGTGCAGACCAGATGAAGTTCAATTAAAGATTTCCCTTGAAACTTGTCACATGTGTAAAAAGGTATCACAAAATTGTTACCACTCTGTCCTCCATCCAGTGCCCTTTGTGAGATTGGAGAAGGTGTTAAAAGAAACTTTTTATTACCCTTTAATACTTTGGTTTAGTTTCGCCATTAATTAGAACGAGAGGGTTTCTTTTTTAAACTTATGTTAGACATCAGTCCATAAGTCCAGAAGAATAAAACTAGTGTCATTTGGCACTTCCAAGAACCTTATATTATTGAGAAAATCGTTTCCCAAATTGTGGAGAAGACTGGTGTAAAGACGTGCAAGGTTTTCTATTGTCAGACTAATCACTGTAGATGTAAGGTCAACAGCATAGATTTCCGTATCCTGTAACAGACTGAAAGTGCTGTTTCTTTCATCATTTAGAAAAAAAAAGGAATGGTTTTGATGATCCTGCTGGCCGGAAGACTGCTTAAGATTGTGTTGAATTCATTCTGAAATGTAATCATGAACTGCAAACATTTCTCCAAATCCAAGACATTTCCTGGTGGTTTCTAATCCTCCAATTATTTGTGGGTTTAGAAATTGGACGGCTTGCCCTTCTGTGGAACCTACAACAAGCTGAAAATGAAGAGTGGTGCAGTTCAGTCCTGTAGTCTTAATTGCACCGTTGCATCATTTATGTGCATACCAAAATAACTTTTGGAGTTCAATTTCTTTGTAAATGCATTATGTAGATAATGTAACTTAAGAGCACAACTCATATTGTAGATTATTGACTGTTTTTATGTAGTGTCACGTGCGTATGGTGTTCTGTACAATGTCATTCAACACGGTTCATTTCCAAAATGTTTTTGAGCATAAATAAACAGAGCTGGTCAACATGTAAGAAGCTTTATTTTTGTTTACGTCCGGACGTTTTGCCCATTTTCTTGTCCGGTGATATCCTGCGCTCTTTGATCAACTTTATTTGGTGGGTGTAATGTTTCTCCTCTAACTTCTCTGTTGGAAGGTGAACACACATCGGTTTGAGGCTGTGGAGCATGATGGGAAATAAGAACCGGAAGGATTTGGGTTTTTGTAGGTCACAGCCAGAAGATACTTTTTTCGTGAAAAATGTATGTGTTCTCGTAACAAAGAAGTGTCGCCTTCGACAAATTCTGAGGTGCCACATATTTGGTATATCTTTTAAATGTCGGGAATTGTGAACATCTTGATTTCAATTTGGAAGCTTTAAGTTCCGAAATCATGTGTTCTATATTATTTACATTGACAGAATGTTGTCAATGAAATATTACGATCATAGTACGATTTGAATGATTAAAAGTCTAGATATTTTTTGCGCTTGCAAATTTCCCGTGAGGATCATTAAAGGCATGCAAACTATCGGACATGGGTCCATCCTGCATGTGCCCAATCTTTGCAGACGACGGCGTCTGTTGCTACAGCGCCCTCAAGAGTTTTCAAACCCTTTGGACAATGGTCACGTCGGATCGTGTTTTGCCGAGGAGTTGCATGCTACAAAATTATCGACACAAGCCTAATACCGGAAGTGTTGGTGCCGGAAGAAATGAAGTCGGTTAGTTCCAGAGGAAAAGTGCGGCACGTGGCATCCAAGAAGGATCCCAAGGTTGCTGAAATGCGTGAAAAGTAAGTTCATTTTCACAGGAAAAATGGTTGCCTAGATTTCGGACAATTGCAATCTCCACCCCCCCCACCCAATACAAACGCAAATAATAAACAGTCCATGATCACCGATGAATAACACTGAATAAAGTAGGCCTAGTATCACAACCGATGGAAAGGATATACGTACACCATTCACCAGCTCATCATAATCTTGCTTGCGATCTCCACTTTTAGCATGTTTGTCATAAGTGTGTAGGGGGGTAAAACCCGCACTCAGGCTGTTCAGTAGGCCTATTTCCTCCATGGTTTCACCATAGAGCAAGCACAGACAATGACCTCGATGACAGATTAATTGTCATCATGGTCAATTGATACTGAGTTTTTAAAGGGGCACCTGTCATTTTACTTGTGTGGAAAGGTCCCCAACCTTGCAAGAGAATATTTAAAAAATAAAAGTAGGCCTATGTAAGACTCGTAGGTGTTGAAAACATTGTTTGTGACTTTCCTATACAAGACTCTTACCTATTTGGCATGTGTTTGTTTTGCAGGTTTCTAGAACTCTTAACCCTAGCAAACACCATTAACCTTTAAGGCGGTAATTATTTTTTATCATGCCATGGTTAAAATAGTGTATACATTCAACCTTTACACTATGTACACAGAAATTAACATTGCTTTATTGGCAGGTGGCATGGCTGTACATTTGTCAGCTTTTGTTTTAATCACCCGAATATCCTTTGCTCTGCTTCACAGTGTTGCTCGGCATGCCAGGGTACCAGTTGAGCATGCCGACAGCCTCCAGTGTTGGACTCCTCAGGCCTCCACGGCCCTCAAGATCCTCATCTCGGCCCGTTTCTGCTCCGCCCTCCTCAGTAACATATCCGACTGTGACGAGACCTTCAACTACTGGGAACCGGTGCGTGGCTTGCGCCAGATCTGACATCGGTCTGCTTGTCTTTGATTTTGCTATTTAATGCCGCAAATCTGGAAGTTTTTCCTCTCGATGTAGATGTGTTACCAACGTCGACCTGCCAGGGGACTCCAAGACGGTTGAAATTTCTGAGGAAAAATGGAAATACTTTCCAAATGGACATCTTGATTTATATTAAGATATTAACAGAAAATACCAAATAAGCAGTTGTCTCTACAGTTGTTTGATTTTAATATTTTCCATTTATATTTGAATATTTGAATATTTTATCTTCTCACCCAGGACATACTCAAACACTTGCAGTTAAAAACGAATTTCTGCTTGGTCTCTTGCCCTCACTAAACACATGCAGTTGTACAGTTTTAAACAAATGTGATACATAAAAAAATCCTGCAACAACAGAAAACATACTCCAGAGTTCATAAGTTTGAACCCCACTTTTTGTAAATTTTCCTTTATTAACTGACTGCAAGACTGATGGTTTATCCTCCCTTTTTACCCTCATCCCAGACCCATTACCTGATCTACGGAGAGGGCTTTCAAACCTGGGAGTACTCCCCGGCCTATGCACTCCGCTCCTATGCGTATCTCTTCCTGCATGCCTTACCCGGTAGACTTCACTCCCATCTCCTGGCTGCCAACAAGGTTGGTGTCTGGAAACAAGACGCCTGTATTGCCTGCTCGGCAGGGTCTCAAATAGGCGGGTTCCCTGCTATCTATATCAGCAATCTTTTGGCGGGTAGACATCGTTTAAAACTTTTCGTGACAAAACTGAAGCAAACATCTAATCTGCTTGCTCTGAAGAAGGTACTCAGTTACTGAAAGCTCGGCAGCTCTGCTTGCCCTGAAGAAGGGACTCAGTTACCGAAAGCTCAGCAATCACATATTTCAGAGCACTGATTTGATATTATATTCTTGTCGATAATCTAACAAATCTTCGTTGATTCCATTTAGATCCTGGTTTTCTACTTCACTCGGTGCCTGCTGGGGCTCTCCTGTGCATTATGTGAGCTCTACTTCTACAGGTGAGAAAGTCTCTCCTCTGGTCCCCAATTGGAATTATTTTGCAAGTTGAACCTTTTTACTGAAATGGGATGCCTTTTTCTGTCAAGGCAGGATTATGTGATAGGCATACAAGAAATTTGGGGCCTACTAAATGTTTGAGGGCCAATGAAAGTTAGGTAACACTGGTGCCTAGTTTCATAGAGAACACTTAGCCTTGCTCTATGTGATGTCTTTGTGAGGAGAGTTTCGATTACTTTAAAAAAAAATGATGTATTTGATACAGGTATACAGTTGTACTATAAACGTTGTTTTTTCTTTCATAAAGGGGTGTATGCAAGAATTTTGGAGCAAGTGTCGGACGTCTAACTCTGTGCTTTTCACTCTTCAGCACGGGCATGTTCATATCGAGTGCAGGTGAGTAACGTAACACGCCTGTATTCCGTTCACAGAGGACTGTGGATCTCGTATTCTGTGCAGTTCACCATTTGCTGTAGTTTGTACTAGAAAGAGCAAACTGCCGTCTTCGTTTTGATGGATGTTCGGTTTGGCATCCTGCTAAAAATGAACATTATGTGGGTGAAACGTGTTAAGGGTTTCTATCAATTTGCATTGTGTAAGTGTCTTTTAAAGGCCTTTTACTGGAAACCTGGCTCCAGCAATTTGGGAGCCAATTTGTTAAGTTAGGTCACTGTGGCAGAAATGCTAAAAGGCACCTCAGACCTATTAAAGTTCGGTTTATGGTATCCACCTTGAGCAGAAGCACCCCCTTATCAGTTGAAAAAAAAAAGCCATGCTGATGGGGAGTGTTGAGTGTTGTTGGTAGTGGCACGCACGCAATGCATGCATTTCGTAGCCATTCGTGAACCAGCTGGTTGCAGTTCCCACCAAAGGAGCATCCGTTACTTGGATAAACACGCAGCCTTTTGGTCCCGCTCAGGGCCCAGATGGTTTGGGAAAGAGTTTAATGATTGTAGCATGTACAGCTCAGCTGCTCTTAATTTACATGGGGTTAAACACCCTCAGGAGTTTGGTATCTTATAGACCAGAAGAATTTAGGACTGAAGGCATGTGCACGGGGAGGGGGACATCTGACCCGAAGTGGCTCCTTGAGTTGGGATTAATGTTGCCAGGGGTCACCTGAGTTTTTGTCTCATTTGGAGATATTGCAGGTTGTGCATATTCAATTGAAGTTGTAAGCTGTGCTGGTTGAACATGGGAACCAGTTTTCAAAGGTGGTGCTCAACTCCTTGCCTTTTTCCACAGTGTTCTCCTCACACTAGTTTGAAGTCACTTGAAATAAATGAACAACTTTAGACGGATTCCTTGGGTTTTGCTGGTTGGCCATGCCGCTGAATCTAAAGTCAAGTCCAAATTGCTTGGAAGTGGCTGAAATAATGCATGAACCCAGGGGAGCTGCCAGCTGGTGGCCTCACCCATTTTCCCTAGGCTTATGAGTCAGCTCTAGGCCACCTAAAGTTCCTACTTGTAGTCGATAGATTTTAATACATCCCTTGTTTGTATTTTCACCAGCATTTCTACCAAGCAGTTTTTCCATGTACATGACCATGGTGTCCATGGCTGGATGGTATCTTGGCAACTATCCAGTAAGTTCCACTTCTGTGAACGTCAATTGTGAACATCATGTGTGATTGGTTTGTGGGCAGAACTCGGTGAAGTCAATTCATCATTGAAATCTCACCATTTTATCGGCATCTCTGTTGGTCTCGTTTGGGAGAATACCATTTTGAATGCTTATTTTAAAAACCGTAAATTTTTCAGAGCTTTTCAACTGTAATTGAATTAAAAATTAAGGTACAATTTGAAATCGTTTTCAGGTTGCGATAATGGGCACAGCCATCAGCGCATTTGTGGGATGGCCTTTTGCTGGAGCGTTAGGGTAAGGAAAACCAAGCAAATGAAGTGGGTCCAGTAAGTTTTTATTATAAATGTAGTCTCTATTTTCGTATTATCCAGTTGCATTTTTTCTCAACCATTCTGAATTCCCAAAATCTTCCATAATGAGAGAAGCCAATGGTACATTGTTGGATTTTTTAGGGGCATCACATTTATATTGGCTTTGTTGTACCATCTTTTTATCCTGCCAACCCGCCACAGCCACTTTGTGAATTTTGAAGGATATGGGAGTCTTGGGATTCAAGGCAAAAGTCAATCCCATTGTGTCAACTTCAGCTGAAGCAATAACTGAAGAACTTTGATCATCAGTTCATACTCCACCCCTTCCTGATTTCTGTCATTTCCTGTAAATTGTGATTTTTCACTTTACTCATTTACACTTGCGATGTCTTTTAAAAAACAGCGTCCCTACTGATGTTTCGGAAAACATTACATCCTTGAAACAAAATCTGGTCATGTCTTCTTTGTATGTCATATTTGACATTTGTGCTTGTAAGCTAACTACATCCCTGTCTTGTTTTGCAGAATCCCTATCGCAATTGATATTGTCCTTCGAGAGAAGAGAGTCGCTTTATTCATCAAGTGGTGTGTGGCAGCATGTGTCTTAGTCTTGGTGAGTTTAAACCGCTAACACTTACCTTCACAAAGCAAGTCATGGTTGTAAAACTTTGACTGAGTACTTTTCGTAGATACCTTTTTTCTCACCATATTTGTAGTATTCTCATTTGTCGTCTGTTTTTTGGTTTTTTTTCTTTCACAAGTTGCCCTTGGTGTTGATCGATTCTCAGATGTTTGGCAAGCTTGTGATTGCGCCGCTCAACATCGTCATGTACAACGTGTTCACTGATCACGGAGCCAATCTGTACGGTAAGTTACGGTAGCACGCCTTGAGCTGTATACTTGAGGGGCTTCCAAAGCAACGATTACATCTGTTGTCCAAACCAGACACAAGATCAGTCAGTATAAACAGGGTGAACAATGACTAAGGAATGCTTTAGTGTTGCAGTTCATTTGAATAGCTTGTGATTTGGATTCAGACTGGTGGTCTTGTGATGGTCTTGTGTGGTCCTGTGAAGGTCTTAAGTGGTCTTTACTACAACACTGGTCATTTTATGCGAATTGGGTTCTGACATTTTTGCAGTAAAACTCTCCATTGGTTCAGGCAGGTTAATGTAGACTATAATTAAGTTGTGAAGCCATGAAAATACTTCAATAAGTTGCACAGGGATGTTTTGTTTCCTTCTTTTTTTTTTCTTACAGGCACTGAGCCTTTCAGTTTCTATTTCATCAACGGATTCCTGAATTTCAATGTTGCCTTTTTCATGGCTCTGGTTGCTCTTCCCTTTTCAGTGAGTGTAAAAACTTCTGTGAAAATCCAAGTTGTCTGTAATAACTTTCAATCAAGAAGCTAGAGAAGTGGGTAAGATTGTATCCAAAGACAAGACTTGTGTGCATCAATTTGAGTTCTTCATATTTCTTCCAAATGTCGTGTTCACAATTGGTTTGAAATGCGTATGTTCCAGAAAGCTGATTTTCACAATTCAGTGGTCATTTCCTCAACATTCCCATCCTGTTACATTTAATAAGTAAATAAAACTAAATTGCCCAAAGCCTGAAGAAATTGACAGCAAATATCCTATGACATTATCGCATGTAGGACTGAAAAGCGTGCCCTTTGAAAAAAGAATCCGTTTTGATCGTTTCTTTGTATTTCCTGTCTTCAGTTTGCGGTCAACTGGTACGTGAAGGGACGTCCGGGAACCAGCCTAGAGCCCCTTCCTCATTGGCTCACGCTCCTACCCATGTACCTGTGGGTTCTTGTCTTTTTCGGCCAAGCACACAAGGTGAACACTCAGATGAGTGTTGCTTCACTGCATATCCCCATATTACCCTCCTGTCTAAAAACAGGCAGTTACCACAGAGAGAGACGAACAAAGGATTGACGGCTGAGGACCGGACCAATCTTTATGCTCCTTTAGGTGTGGCTGTCCTCTGTGGTAAAAGTGAATGGATACATTTACACATGTGCCAGATCTCCTGAACTTTCTGCAAAAACTTTGGAAAACAGCAAGTAGTTGAGGTATTTGTACGTAGCCCAGAGAACATGTCTTTTTTTACTTGACACACAAGGACTGTTTACCCTTTGTCCACGTTTGGCGTGTCTCTTGACGGCACTTTATTAATCAAACATGTAATTGGCTCCTGTTTCGGGGTGGGCGAGTGGTCAAATCGTGTAAGCCGTTGGGCCAAAACATTAGCAGCAATCCAAATCATGTAAGCCGTTGGGCCAAAACGTTAGCAGCAATCCAAGTCATTTTACCCAGACCTGATTTTATTTAGATCTGTCAACTCTTTCTTCCTGTCTATCTCTTTCATGTTTGTCCCCTTCATTTTCCAGGAGGAGAGGTTTTTGTTTCCCATCTATCCTTTCTTCAGTCTGGCCGCAGCCATCACCATGTCCTCTCTGCAGGTATCTCTTTCCGTTTTTAGATCTGTGTTAAATGACTAGGAACCTTGAAATGCTCCGTCTGACTGTAGACGGCGTGCACAGCACAGGAAAAGTCCTAAATGAGCAATGATTTCTTTGGACCTTCTCACATCTGAGAAGTTATGCTCTCCCAACCCCCCCCCAGATTTAGGTGAAACTCGGTATGAGTAAAAGCAGAAGATGTCCACGTCGAGTGCTGGCTGTATCAACCAATTTTTCATCCAATTGGATGAAGGGATTTTGTTTGCAGTTGTCATTTGTTGTAATTACATGTATTTGTACTGCTGTCCACGGACGAGCACTCTGCATTGCGCGCTGTAGGAAGAAGTTAACATTTAGCCCCACCCTGTCTTTGAACTTTTGGAATTTGGTATTCCTGTGTGGATGTATTTTTTAGAGCTGCAGTGTCTCCCTGAGTTCCGATTACGTTTGGCACAGAAAAAGAGATTTCAAGGCTTAATTTTCAGAAAAGTGAAATCTCTGACTGCCCTGCCTCTGTTTCTTTGTTTTTCCCCTTTCGGTGCTCCAACAGAAATTGTACCACCGCATCTTCACCCCCTACAGACTTCACCACTACACTTGGTCATCCAATTGGCTGGCAGCAGTCGTGGCCGTCGTATTCACTGTCTTGTCGCTGTCACGGTCGGCTGCACTCTTCTTCGGTAAGGCACTGTGGAAAGTCATGGACCGGTGGCTATGGCGACAGACTCCATCTTGTGTTTTCTTTCATCCCATATAAGATTCCATCATTTTTATAATGTTTTAAGAATAACGTCCGTTCAGTTTTAATAGTTATAGCTCAAATGCATTTTATTTCTTTTACCATGCGTGGTTACAGATAATGGCCATTGTATTTTGATGTCTTTGGCCAATTCAGGTTTTCATCTCATCAGTGTGTTTGGAAGTTGTGGCTGTGGCTTGATGTAGCACATGTATTAGTGGAAGCCCTTAGCTGGAGGCTTCGGCTACTTCCCATAGACCTGTGTGTACTATGAGCCACAGCCATTTTGACATGGCCATAGTGTGTATCTCATCACATGCAAGTTGTTATTTTGTTCCGCGAATGTCCTATCCATACACAGTGGGGCAGGGAACCATTTCCTGCCCGATGGCACACGTGTAGTTTGCCCACATGCACCTGTGGCCAAGATGCATTGAAGGAAGAAGCATAAATCACAAAGTACACTTCAACATATTTGAGAAATCAACTAAGCTTCTCTTTCTTTCCGAGAAATTTTGTCAGTTTCACCTGAACTTGTGAGAAGTGTGTCATAATTAGACTATATAACATGAGGAGTTTGGTACTCTGGGCATTCATTTTGAAGGATTACATCAAAAGAATATTTGAATTTTGTTTTTGATTAACCCTTACAGCCCGGAATCCTCAAATTTTAATATGATTTTGCACACACCCTAGGGAGTTAGGGTTAACAATACTGCAACCTTGATTGGTACTATGCTTGGTTTCCCAGGTTACCACACCCCAATGGATGTCTACCCTCTGCTTGGTAGCATAGCAGACAATAGAGAGATCCACACATTACCCCCGGACCGACCAGTCAACGTCTGCATTGGGAAAGAATGGTATCGCTTTCCAAATAGCTTCTTCTTGCCAGAAAAGTAAGGATTTTTCTTTTTGTTTCCAACTGTCAGTTTGTATCTATCACTAATTTGTATGTTTGGTGTCATTAACTTAGGATTTGGGGGTTGTTCTTTTCAGTTGGAGGTTACAGTTCATCGAGTCAGAGTTCAGAGGGCAACTTCCAAAGCCCTACGCAGCTGGGAATGATGCTACCAAGGTGATACCCACCGATATGAATGAATTCAACCTGGAAGAGACATCAAGATATGTGAGTCCTTTTCCTTAAAATATCAGGATCAAAAGAGTTCTTTTTATGTATTTTTCTACTCCTGTCATTTTTTTTTATTACCCCCTGCCGACAATGCATAAGTTTTGTTCTGTTTCTGCATTGTTCAATGAACCCTCCTATGTGGAAGTCACTCTTTGGGTCACTTGGTGAACATCTCAAAGAAGCACAGCTGTG